CCGTGGTGAGCATTGGACGCGGAGGCGGCTGTGTGAGAAGTTGGAGGAGGAGGATGCTGCTGCTGCTGTTGTTGATGTTGTTGTTGTTGCTGCTGCTGCTGCTGCTGGTGATGGTGGAGTGCTTGATGCTGGCTGGCAGCATGGTGGTGCTGTTGTGGCGAGAAGAAATAGGACGACATGGTGTTGTGGCTGTGCTTGGTTACAGGCTGAACAACGAGATTACATCCAGGAAGAGCGAATTGGAAATTCGTTTATTAGCCAGTAAAGCCTCGAATGGTATAGTAGCAGGCAGATCGATCAGTAGGGCTTGTTGATGTAAGATGGATTTTTGCTGGGTGTTGGGGGAAGCCGTTGTTGTTGGTGGTGGTGGTTGTGGAGTGCCGTTGTTGTTGTGTGGGAGGGGCGAGGAGTCGGAACGTTGATCTGTGATTGACAACACACACAACACAGAAGAATTAAAGAGAAGAAGAGGATGATTAACTATCGAATAAAGGTAGTAGTAGAAGAAGTAGAAGAAGTAGAAGAAGAAGAAGTAGAAGAAGAAGAAGAAGAAGAAGAAGCAGCAGAAGAATACACAAAGAAACGGTTAAGTTGAGGTTGGGATGGGAAGCGGCAAAAAGCAGATCGGAGGCTGGGAGAGGAGAGGAGAGGAGAGGGAAGTTAAGAGGAAGGAGGAGAGAGAAAATGAGACAAGGAGGAGAAGAAGAAAAAAGAGTCGGTGTGGAACCAAAGGGAAAGGAAAGGGAAGAAATGCCGGTCAGGTGACTGCCGTGCTGGGCCGTCGTTCGGGCCAGAGGAGAAGCGGCGGCGGCGGCTTGGTAAGGAGTTTGTAGCCTTGTAGCACCAAAGTCACTCGCTGGTGTCTCCCCGCCTAGCACCCCCTACAACGGATACCTGCTGGGTACGGAGTAGATACGATTCCTCCCAAGGACTTAGGAGGAACCAACAACAATCAAAGTAAGTGAGGAGTGACCTGGCTCTGTAGGGCGCCTCCCACCAAACAGCAAGTACCTGCCGAGTACAGAGTACAGAGTTACAATACCTGCTCCAAAGGGGCTTGGCCGCTGTCCCAATCGGGCAAAGCGCATAGTTATCCATTGGAAGAAGAGCAAAATTGCCTCCTTCCAAGTACTCCATACTCCGTACATACAGGAGCCAGCGGCAAAGCAGTTGCAGGGATCAAGCCCAATGGACTGTGGGCCATGTTGGTTTCTCAACCAATGATAGCTTTTAAAGACCCGCATGTAGCCAATCAACAGCAGGAGCCAAGCGACGGGTGCTGTGGAGAAACCTTAGGCACCCATGGATGCCCTTGTGCAGCTGGGCGGCGGTGATTGGCGGGCGGTGACGTCGGAGGAGGGGTGGTGTGGCTGCTGACTGGCTGGACCTGAGGTCATGCGGGTTTCCTCTTCCCCGCCACTTCAGCTCTACGGAGTACCTGGAAATACGTCAGGTACATGTTACATACATACATAGCATACAGAGTTGCAGTGACTCAGGCCAGGAACAAAACACAGCAAAATGAGTTGTCTCCTCTCCTCTGTGTGCGTGTGTGTCCCAACCAAGGATAGGTAGGTAGCCCCTTCAAAACACCTCCATTGGTTTTGCCAGTACGGAGTACAAAATATGAAATGACATCAATTATTAATGGGTTGGACGAGTACACATGTTTTGCCGTCGTGGTAATTCCATCTGTCAGTCATGTCCAACTTCCCACTGCTCTGACAGATCAATATACTGATACATTGCAAACCTAACCATATTCTAGAGCAGAATAGAACCGCAGAATAAACCTTAGGGGAAAGAATAGGAGAGGTGACGACCTCGCAACCCCCAGTCTCCAGGCCAGTCTCCAGGCCAGTCTCCAGGCCAGTCTCCAGGGGCTGTGTGATCCTTGCGCCTACGCTGTAAGTACAGAGTACGCTGTAGGGTAGGGTAGTTGTCCATAAATAGCAGCCCCTTGCTACCTCTTAGGGCTAGTCAGGCGCCCCTGACTTCCCGGCCAGTGGCTGGAACCTTCGGTTAAACTTGACTCTTTTTCTAGAAACTACTAGTTAGTAATGTCCTGTACTCCGTACAATACACATGTTACTCCGTACAGAAAAAATACTAGAGAAAATCGAAAACCCAGGAATTTCAATCACTCAAATGAAAAACACACAAACTATCACAGAAGAAAGAAAGAAAGGAAGGAAGGAAGGAAGGAAGAAAGGAAGAAATAAATATATAAAAAGTAAATCCTCCTCCTCCTTGAGTGATTGTATAGTACATGTACTTGTTACTTGTGCTCTAACAAGAATAATAAATAGTGCAAGTGGTGCAAGTTACATATGCAAATGCAATGTGATGCATGCGTGGATGCCAGAAAGGTTGAAAGCAACAACTAACAAAAACAGGTCTCCTTGTCCTGATTGGTGCTGGAGGGGATGAGGGGATGGGATGGGAAGATGCGTCGGTGGCTTGTGTTGTTGGCTTGGCTGGTGGGATGGGCTGAAGCGGGGAGGATGGATCGTGGGCTGGTCTGTATTTTTATTTTTTTATTTTTTATGTTTTATTTATTTTTTACCTTGTTGATTGATAACTGTTTGAAGGAATGAAGTGGATGCTACACATACATCCTGTACCTACAAGGGATAGGCGGCTACATTCCTAGCTTATATCAGAGATAAGGGCGGTTAACTTGGGGGGGGGGGGTGGTATTTTTGAACTTTTCGACGGGGAGATGCCCTCTTCTCTTTTATTTATTTCTGTATTTATTTCTGTATTTATTTGGGTTGGCGAGAGCATTACTCCGCTGCCGGTTGTATATACAGCCCCATATAGCTTCATCCAATAAGCGTAAGTCGGCCTATCCCGTACTTTTCATGGTGATTGGAAGAAAGAAAATGGTGTTTGTATGTATATCTATGATTGCCCCAAGGGGCGTGCCCAGACACAGGTGAATGCTAGAAAAGCAAGAGGGTATAAATTGATTAACTAATTTAATTTAAACCAGATTGAAACATATATATCTAATTCCATCTAGCGGCGGGTGAAGAGGAGTCTAACAATGCCGGGGGTTTTCTGGTGCTTTGACGAAGTATACGCCTCGATTACCTGGTTGATAGGCCAAAGGGGCGATCGGTTTGAATGATAAGATATGAATGGCATGTAGGCGGGATGCTAGCGGCTAGCGGAGTTGCTTGCGAGAGGAGGGGGAAATAATTGACCGTTATATCACTGACAGCGCGCAAGGTGTGTGCGTGTGCGTGTGTGTCTGGTGGGCCGTTAAGGATGTTTAACATCGATGAGTGGTGGTGGACGGCCTGGACGAGGTGGGGAGCGGGTGCCGTGTATATATAATGGGGATTGAGGGGCTTTCTCGAGCCGCCCTTGCTGTTAATGGGTGCTGTTTCATGCTGATGTTCCTTAATATTTGTCTCAATACGACGTCTCGAACTTGAAGCTGGAGGGATTCACTTTTGTTGAGTAGTCTTCTCTCTGATATAGTGGATATTGAGGCAGGCTTTGAATTCACGCCCTGCTCATCATTTCGCTCCTTTTCTTGAGTCTCTATTCCCAAGGCGCTTCGAGGATTTGTTTGCTGAGCTTTGTTGACATATCCTGGTCGACTAACAGATTAACCCAAGGATGCAGCATCTTTTAAAATTAATTTCTGAGAGCAGTATAATCAACAAAACCACCGTATCACTTATCTAGAGACCGTGCCTTCACATATCGGCCAATCTGCTCCCGACATGCTTTTTCGCTATACTGCACCCAGGCCTCGTACAGAGAAACAAGCTCTTGAGTACATTCAATCACTGCCTCGATGCTGACCTCCCCCGTCGACAGCCAGTCAACCAGCTTTTGAATGCGAGGAGGCAGGTTTTTATCACCGAGTGCAGCCAACGCACCCGCGCCATCCCGGAGCGTGGCGGAAACCGGCGATGCGCCGGCCAGGTGGGCACTGCTGGCAGGGCTCGTTTTGCAAACCACTGCGATTAAAATGGCGGTCACTGCAATGACGTGCGGTGGCTGGAGAAGCGGGAGATCAGTCAAGTAGTGGTCGTTGATTACTGACCAGGCTAGAGACACCTCATCTGATGTCAAGGAGAGTGTCGACTGGAGTTCGGATAGGGTACGATACGGATGGTGGACTATTAGCTGCGAGTTCATTTCAGAGATTAACCAAAACTCGCATTCTCCGAGCTTGGATATGTCGGACACGATGAAGTCTAGTAAGAAAATATTTTTAGCCAACGGGTTGGATTTGTATATAAATCTCACAAATTCTTTTGCCTAGGTAAGCGGGCATCTAGTGGTAGTAGGTAGACAAACCTGGCCAGAGTCCCTTTGCCTCACTCACGACGAATCGAATATGCTGTGGGCATTCCTCCATCTTGCACGCCAAATAAAAGGCAGTGGTAAGCACGAGATAAGGATTTGTCCGCCGAATTTCCACTTTGGTGTAAAATCTTCTGATATAAACCTGCGCTGTTGCAAGTGCCTGTTGACGGGTGGTCATTCGCTTCCCCAGTCTGACCAGCTCTGCGGAAGCATCATCCCTCTTGTTAGTCTCAGCAACACGCCCTGCTAGTCGCAACGCACATAATCATGGCAGACAGTCTTACGTAGATTGATGTAGATACTGAAGTACCTTAGATCAGGAAGCGGGAACTGCTGTAAAAGCTGCTTCTGCTTCTCGCCTTCGTCGAGGCCTCTCCGAATCTCCGCCAGCTGGTCTCGCTCGAAGAGCCAGTGCCGGCGCTGGGTTGATACCCAGTAATTTGCAGCCATTTCTTTTCAAGGCGGTAGATATGGTCTTCAGCGGCAGATTAAAAGAATTGAGACGGACGGGGGGCGTCATCGGAGGCAGAGAAACGGAGACTGCATCCTCACATATTTATGACGCTGATACGTGTTGATTATTATATTCAATGGTAGTGTTTCTCTCTCCTACATCATCGCCTCTTCCCTCAAGGTTACTGTGGTTTGTCTTCAAGGTTTGGTTTTGATGTCGCAGCTAAGCGCTCGCTTGCGCCCACAAACCACCTGCGCCTAGGTTAACTAGTTAGCGCCAACCATCCTGCTGCAGCTAGATTTTCCCGCATTTACAGAATGATGCTATTCTCATAACACACACAGCGGGCGTTAATAACGCATTCTTTCTGCTACGCGATTGTAATTCTTATTCTTCTCTGATGTTTAGTCCACTCTTGCCAATACAACACCCGCATTTTTGCGGGAAGTTTGAAAATAGATAGATGTTTACCTCTTGTTTCCGCCGCCTCATGTTGACCGCACCCTGATTTGTTGGTCACTGTGCAAGAATGGGGGTAGAGTCACAGCGGGATCGCGACCAGCGGGTTGCGAAGCTATGGGAAACCCTGGATACCCGCGATGAGGGCCAAATAGACCTCAAGGGGTTTAAAAAGGGTCTACGGAAAATGGACCACCGTACGTTTCTCTTCTTTGACCATGATCTTGCCCGGTTTTGAATTTTATTTGTACCTTCTACGCTGCGTGAACTTCACATATACTAACATATATATATAGCCCTTAAAAATGCAGAAGACCTTGTCAGCGACGTCCTTTCATACGTGGACACCAGCGGGGATGGGAAGATACAGTTCAACGGTGCGGCCATCATGTACCTAGAGCCTGCTTGGGCTCTACATGCCCATTCCCCTCGATACCGGACTAAAGTGCCCCTTTCTAGAATTTCGAGTGTTTGTCGAACGGGCCGAAAACGAGCTCTGGCGACTGTTTAAGTCGATCGATCATGACCAAAATGGGCACCTTGACAAGGAAGAACTACGAACTGCCTTTGCGAACGCTGGCTTGACTATCCCGAAGAAGAAGCTGGACGAGTTCTTTACCGACGTGGACACCAACAGGGACGGTGTAATCACTTTTGATGAATGGAGGCATGTTTCGATGTTTTATTATCTCTTCCAGCTGATCATATCACTGTATCTAATGCAATTCGTAAATAGGGACTTCCTCCTTTTTCTTCCCGCAAGCACCTCCAACCTCGGCGGTCTGATATCGTATTACAGTGCTCTTGGAAACCTAAACCCGGAAGGAGACGTCCACATAAATGAACCTTTCCAAGGATCAGGTACAGACCCCTCATTTCCTAAACACAATGTCACCCATGTCGCGTCAAATTCACAGTCCAACACTTTCCAACTTCCTGTGTCGGACAACGTAGTGATCCAATTACATCGCGAGGCTCAACCCACACACCATCAGTACTACTACAACCTGGAAACAGTTCCGTTCCTCACTGATGATGAGCTGGAGTGGCTTGTTCTTCCAACCGCCGTCTCGCTATGGTTGTGGTATCAATCTGTCACACAAATATTGACGGACGGTACACCTCAAATAGGTTATTTCCTTGCGGGCGGAATGGCAGGTTGCGTATCAAGAACGGCCACTGCCCCCCTCGATCGTTTGAAAGTATATCTTATCGCCCAGACCGTTATGAAGGATACCGCTTTTACCGCAGCAAAGTCTGGCCACCCTCTGGAAGCTGTAAAGAGAATGGGGATGCCCCTCATAGAAGCAACCAAGGATCTATGGCGTGCTGGAGGAATACGGAGTTTGTTTGCAGGTATGACCAATTCACAACCCCTGCATTTATTTCGTTCAATGTGTGCTAAATAGTCTAACCAACTTCATAGGGAATGGCTTGAACGTGGTCAAGGTTATGCCCGAGTCTGCTATCAAGTTTGGCGCGTACGAGGTGAGATAGGATCGATAATTCATCCTTTATATTATTTTTGATATTGTGTGGTATGCTGATGTAGTTCAGGCTTCAAAACGTATGTTCGCCAACCTTGAGGGGCATGGCGATACAAAAAATCTACTCCCAACCTCGCAATTCCTGGCTGGTGGTATCGGAGGAATGGTTTCTCAGTATGTCCGTTCCGTGTTCACTTTGGCGTGATAGTTACTTATTATCATAGATGTTTTGTTTACCCTTTGGATACGCTTAAATTGTAAGTTATCTATCTCCCTCCAGTGGAATTCCTTTCTACCCTATACATACATCCTTACTATTTTTGCTAGTCGCATGCAATGCGAAGTGGTTGAAGGTGGACTACAAGGCAACCGGCTCATCATGGCCACCGCCAGAAAGATGTGGACGGGTAATGGAATTCACTCTTTCTTCCGCGGCTTGCCGCTTGGCCTGATTGGAATGTTCCCATACGCCGCGATCGACCTCACGACCTTCGAATACCTGAAGTCAATTCTTCTAGCTCGCAAAGCTAGAATATACCACTGTCATGAAGACGACGTGCCCCTTAGCAATTTCGCCACTGGTGCTATCGGTGCTTTCAGCGGTGCCCTCAGTGCTTCGATAGTTTATCCGATGAATGTTCTCCGCACAAGACTGCAGGCACAAGGCACCGTCCTGCATAGCCCGACATACACTGGCATTGTCGATGTAACGCGCAAAACATTAAGTCAGGAAGGGATACGCGGCCTGTTTAGAGGAATAACCCCGAATTTACTAAAGGTCGCCCCGTCGGTGTCGATCAGTTACATCGTGTACGAAAATTCGAAGCGGCTATTTGGTTTAACTTAAAAGCATCCCTACAGGCATGTTTGTGTATCAAATTACTCTTATCGTCCCACCGACCCGGAAATATATCTACTCTTTTCTAGAGCCAAACGGCAGAGGGCTTCCACAGGCCAGTCCGTTCTATCCATCGCCATCCCTTTTATATATGCATGCATGCTATATGAGGCCATGATATATTCTCTAGGATCCCCACGAGCCGTGCCGCTGCAGTGCTTCTTTCCATTTTCCTGTTTTTATCTATCTACCTTCGTCCTTTTCTATATTCCACTTTTTGACATTTCAATATTTATTTATTTTTCTTTTTTTCTTTTTTGTATTCCATTATTCTTTTTCGCCTTTGACAAGAATACCCTGAACACATTTCTGTTTTTATTTTTTATTTTTCACTTTTCTCTTTTGCATAGCCGTGCGGCGTACCAGAGCATCTTATTCTGTTCCTATCCCAATTTCCTTCTATCAGCGTACTGTACATATGTACAGTATAGCGAGCACATTCGTGGATTCTCTCCGCGGCAACATACAACCATCTCGACATATTTTTCCTTTTTAAAACCCTGGATATATATACAAAAAATAAGTAATAAATATAGCGTGGGGTAAGCAAAATTACAATTCATTATCTAAAGGATAGACGGCCACCTTGGAAAATATACTTCAACTTCCTGAACCCATTCAACGCAGATTATATAGACTTCGAGTGCCTAGTGACCTACGGGAGCAGAACTAGCCAAAACAAATCGAGAATCTACAGTTCTATCCACATCCTTACATGGTCTTATGAAACGCTTCAAGTGCCTTGTCCATATCAATCTTCTCAATCCTCTCCTGAATCCTCCCAACTCCTAACGAGCTGCTCCGCCACATCCACCCATACAACTTCCGCTTTACCAATCCCTGCAATCCCTTCCTCGACGGCTAACTTCACCAACTTCCCACCCCTCTTCCTAACAACCCCATCAACTGACCGTCTCAATATCCGCTACAGACGCATGCAGCACAATCGCCGCTATGAGATCGTGTTCTGCCGCACAAACCATACCAGGACTCAGCGCGTCAACAATATCCACCCTTTGCCCCTCGACCAGACTCCCCATTTGGTCCTGCATATGCACAGACTTGGCGCCCTGTATCGTCGCGAGGCGGAACGCATCCCTAACACTCCCTGAGGTCTTCACAATGGGTATTTCACCCTTTTCGATCAGCTCTTCGTTACGCACGGCTTGGGCAGATTGTAAACCCAGACGCCTCTGCGTGATCATGTCGGAGCAGTTGTTGGAGTGGCAGTCTATGCCCAGCGAGCATTGGTCCTTTATGTTGTCATGGAAGCAGACGGGTAATCTGTGACCCATTTGTAACTCTGTTTCTGGGGTGCTGGAGACAAAGGCATTGGTTGAGATGATCTTCTGCGCGGCGGCTGGAGAGACGTCGGTGGCATCGGAGAGGATGATGTTTGCGCCTAAGAGGTTGTAGGAGTCGAGTATGTCGACGAGGGGTACACCATTGTAGTCTTCGTTGGGTGGTGGAACGGGTTTCAATTGTTAGCGGTTGCACTTGGTACGTATGGCACTGGAACAAAAGGGCAGAGGGAAAAAAAGAAATAAAAAAACTAACCGTAAATCCCATGTAGGTAATGTGCTGTGATAATTTTGACTCCAGCCTTTGTCACCCGCTCAAACATTTCGATAATCATTTCCTAGGCAAGAAGAACAAGTCCAATGCAAAGCCGAGCTAGATACGGCCGTCACCAAGGGGAGCTAGCTACCTGGGCGAGTTTATCGATGGTTTTGAACACCCATGCAGGGAAAATGTCCTGGTTCACTGTAAAATGGGGATCTCATGATTTCACTCTTACGGTGGGAGTGAAACAGAAAATCGAGCGGATGCCTGAGGCAATTTTTACGGAGACGGCGTTCTCGACTAAGATAATTAAACAGGAGTGAGTAACGTTGAAGTTCAGAGACAGATTCTCTTTTTGCGGTCTTCAAATTAAAGATCCTCGTACCATGCGCTGCCGAGTAGCTCATGTGCGCCATCGATGGAGGCAAGACAGCCACCGAGTTGTCCCCAGGAAATATCGCTGGCCGTATAGTTCGAGCATTGCATGTTTCCTGGTCAGAGAATACGACCAGTTAACTATGTGTCGCCTCATAATGCTCACTAGTATTCCTCAACTAACATATTGCTGCATCTCGGGTATCAGGACATGGAAAAGATCGAAATGTAAGATTCAAGGTGAAAACTTCACAGAACAACCAGAACATACATCCGCCCCAAGATTCCATTCATTACTTCAAATAGAAACCTTACCGCCTCAGTCAACAGCAACGAAATAAACAGCAAATGGCATGCCACATACCAGAAGGCATGTACTCCATCAACGAATGATCCGCATGCCTGCTCTTCGGCTGCGTCTGCCAGAGATGAATGGTGCGTATCAACGAAGCCCGGCGATACAATATTGCCACGACAATCAATGACTTCCGTGTCCGCAGAGGGAGCCTGGACATCCGCATGCGGAGCTATGCGGGTGATTATGTTGCCCTCGATGAGACGGGAGTGCCCGCTCAGTGGGACAGCATAAGTGCTTGCCCTGGAGCTAGGGACGATGATTGCTGAGTTTTGGAGGAGGATTGAGGATGGCATCGTGTCGCCGCTTGTTAATGAAAGGTATGATATGGTTAGATAAGGTCTTGGAAGGCTGGTGTGTAGGGAATATGGCAGATGTGACTTTCTTTATATGCGCTTCCTTCTGCTCCGGGCGCATCTTATATACATGGGAGGAGGGGTAGATAGATGATAGCGGGGGTAGTTTCACAAAAAGAATATATAAAACCCATAGGATGAATAACTTATGCATCCTGGACTGTTTATTCATGGAGTTGTAAGGGCTACTCTCGATCGCAAACATGAGAGACTCTGGACCTCCTTTTCGGAAACTTTTTTACGATTAAGAATTAAGTATGCTCGAATGCTTTGAATCATTGGCGGGCGAAACCATGGGGCATCATCTTTAAATAGGCTCAGGAGAAATCCAAGGAGCCAAACGAGGTGGAAGAAGTTTGATGGGCGGAAAAAGATGCCTCAGTACATGCATACCTCTGCCGCTCTGATGGGAGGGGGTGGGTGTAGTGGAAACAGCCAACAAGCGCACGAGGAATGCGTCTCGTTCAACCTAACATGCAAATCTATGTTGGAAAATACCTTATCCCGTCCTACCACTTCCACCCCCTTTACCACCCCCTATCACCCCTTCCACCTTCTTCACTCTCTATCCCCTCTACCACCACCACCGCCACCACCGCCTCTACTACCCTGCAGCCCCCCCTATCACTTCCACTCTCTACTTCTACCTCTCTCTTACCACTTCTATCACCTCTTCTACTCTCTACCCTCTCTACCACCCCTACCACCCACCCTCTTCCACCCTGTATCACCCCTATCATCATTATCAGATTAATCAGAGCTGTACAGGTCACAGAGCTGGCTGTTCAATCTCATTCATGAATTCAAAGAGATGCACATAACATCACATGAGATCATATTATAGAGCATTTAGTAGTGCATGTCATGAACACTGAGATCAAAAATGAATATAGAGAAGAGTATAAAAAATGTAAATACTGTAGAGAATATATGAAAAGAACAGAATGAATAAAAGAATGAAGATTTGAAGATTGATCTGAGCTGTATAAGCTGAAGAGAAGAGCTGAGCTGAGCAAATATTTTTGATGAGATTATGAAAAAGTTGATTTTTCTATAATAAATAGAAAGATTAGAGAAGCTAGCTACATTATATTACATATCTCTCTCTTTATTATAGAAAAATCAACCTTTTCATACAAAAAACACTGTAATATGATCTCATGTGATGTCATGTGCATTTCTTTGAATTCATGAGATTGAATAGCTGGCTCTGTGGCCTGTATGATTAATCTGATGATGGTGATAGATGTGGTAGAGGGTAGTAAGAGACGGGTAGAGGTAGTGGAAGTGGTAGAGGGGGTAGGTAGGGGTGGTAGGGTAGGAGCAATTGCTAGGACAATGCCACTGGGCCGGCGCCACTACATATTTTTGATGGATGTCACGTTACAGCGTTTTTTGCATGGAAAAGTTGGTTTTTCTATAATAAATAGAGAGATAAATAGACAGATAATAAATAGAGAGACAAGATAAATAAGTGAATGTAAAGGCACAAAGCGCGAAAGAGAAGTAGAACCTTTGACAATTTACTGTCTCGTTGCAGCCACGGCCGCCACCTCCTTATCCTTCGGCAATATATCCGGCAGCGGCCCCACAGGCGTAATCCCAAATGGATTAATCTGCGTATGGCTTGTCGTATAATGCTTCTTGATATGTTCAAACTGCGTCGTTTCCCCAAAAGCCGGGACATCCCAATATAGCTGGCGTAGCCAGTGGTGGATGGCCGGGTATCCGGAGCGAATGTCGCGGATGTTCGCCTTGAAATGCTGCACATAGACAGGATCGAAGCGGACGATGGTGGTGTATAGGCGAATGTCGGCCTCCGTGATGGTGTCACCGAAGTAGTAGGTGGGAGTGTTTTTGGAAGCGTTGGCGGCGATTCTGGATTGGAGGTGTGATTCGATGCGGTCGAGGCTGGCGAAGAGGGGGACTATTGCATTTTCGTACGCTTCTTGTTTCCTGTGGATTATTATGTTAGCCAGGAGGCAGTGCATTGGATAAACTGGGGTTTTCTTGTTTTGTGTCTCATGATAAAAAAGATCAACGGGATATACTCACGTTGCAAACCCGCACTTATAAACCCCATTGTTCACGTTGTTATACGTCCATTCATTAGTCTCTTCGATGTCCTTCCGCAGGTGCTCCGGGAACAGATCAACGTTCTTGTACTTCTCCGGCAGCAAATCGTCGAACTCAGTGTATAACATGCGAATAATCTCAGAGCTCTATAAAAAATTAACTCGAGTTAGCCCCTGTGAAGCTAAGCTTTCCTACTCCACCAACCTCTCCTCCACCAAAAAAACAGCCCATCCCTCCCCGCCGCAGTGAGATTCATACATACCTCATTGCTAACAATCGTCTTCGTCTTCGTATCATACAACGTCGGCACGGTAAACCTTCCCTTGTACTCCGGATCGACATCAAAATAAATCTGCCGGAGATGTTTAAAGCCCGGATGATGGGGGTCTGGTCCCGAATTCTCCCCGGGAAGATTTTCCTCAGCGGTTGCGAACCGCCATCCCAGCTCTCCCATATGCCAATGCACGGAAGTGAAGGAGATTATGTCCTCCAACCCCTTGAGTTTGCGAGTGATGAGGGTCCGGTGGGCTATGTAAATTATATGTTGATATCAACAATCAAATTTGAACTAACATCGGATGCAGTGAGGAAGCAGAAAATGAAGAGAAGATAACATACCCCACGGACACGCGTACGAGACATAAAGATGATACCGGCCCTTCTCAGGCGGGAATCGCGCCCCGGGCTCCCTGGAGATCCAATTGCGGAAAGCAGATTGGCCGCGCTTGAATTCCCCGGTTGGATCCAATAGGCTCGTCCACTGGGTGATTGGCTGGTCATTACCGGTCTGCAAAACATAATATAATGAATTAGAAATATGGGATAGATATGTATGGGAAGGGAGGGGGGATACAATTTACCGCCATGTTTCTTGTGGTTGGTGGTGATGTTGCTGCTGCTGCTACTGTTGCTGATGATATCGGTGACGTAGGAGGCTTTATACTGCTGCTGAAGTATGAGAAGAGTTGCCGGGCGCGGGAGAGCGTGGAGGACATTAAATAAAACTGATCGAGTTTGGTATTTCGAGAGGAATAAAAGGAAGGTAGAGAGTAACAAAGAATTGTGCAATGTTCAAGCTATTGTATTTATATTCCATTCTTCTTATATATTATTGTCTGCGGGGAATCTTGTCAATTGGTGGTTGATTGATAATCCCGCCGGCGGAATTCTGGCCGGGATGACTAAGATGCTGCAGCGATGATGACGACATGGCTGAGTGCTCGAAGGTAAAAAATATGATTTCATGGCGGAAAAAAAAGTGCTTTGTGGATTTATTTGCCCCCTTTTTAAATCTATCTCACTATAACCTCCCCCATTCTTGTTTTTAATCAATAGCTTCATACCTTCCGTGAAGAGAAAAAAAAAGAGAAACTCGTTTTTAGTTTAACCCGCAACTCAATATAGGAAAACAAAAAAGAGCATAACAAATTTACAACATCAACCCCCCCAAAACACACTCATTCCCTCCCCCCATTTCTCGCCTGCAAAAAGCGCAACAAGAATCCTAGTTTAAAATACTCAATTGATCATTCTATTTCACTCTATCCATATCTAAACCTTCATCTCAGTATCCGTCTTCGCCGGCTTGTCCACCTTCACGCTAACATACGGTACATCGACATCTTCATCCGTATCATCGCGTGCCAAAAACTCGAAGATGACATATTTCTGATGCTCAGGGATCGCCTTGTCGCTGACGGATTGGACGAGCTCGCTCAACCTATTTGCACGCGATGGAAATTAGTATATGGCACGATATACAAATGCACGATGGAAAGAAAGGGAAGAAGGAGGGACATACTTCATTTGCAGCCGCTTCTTCATCACGTCCGGCCCCTTGTTGAAAACAGGGTACAACAAGCTAACCCCAGAACTAATCATGCCAATATCCAGTCCATTCTCCTCTTCGCAGCTCTTCAAGAAGTCCTGAAGCACGACATCATCCGCCTCAAAGCGGTCCCAGAGCTTGTGGAACCAGATCTCGCGGCCCTTGTGGTGGTACTTGTCCATGGGGCTGGCGATCGGGTCGATGAAGCTGAAAAATGGCAGGGCGAGGTTGACGAAGCTATTCTTGTATTGCTCGGCGTGCGGCTTGCCGTCGATGATCTTGTAGAGTTCGAGGATCACGAGGCCGGTGACCAATGCTGTTGTAGTGGCGATGGCCGGGATGATCTTGCCGGCAATGAACTTGGTTTTGTGTCGGTCTGCTGGTTGGATGTCGTAGTTCTCGGCGCGTAGGTTGCTGGCTGCTGTAATGAAATCAATGTGATGGTTGCTATCATCATCCTTCTCAAATATGACGGGATCTAATTGGAATCCTGCCAGAGATTTAGGTGATGGGAGAGCAGCGATGAGACGCTTGAGTTCTTCCTCATCAGTGAAACCTGACTGCGCGTTCGGGTCGGGTTCATTGTCACTGGCTTGAATTTTAACACTGGAACTGGGGGTGAATTCGGGAACGATCATGTCATCTAGAACTTTTCGATAATGGCCCTTATCCGCTCCAGGATTCTTAATTCCGTAGTTATATGCATGGAGGTTTGCAGCAGCAACGATAAATGAAAGGTGCGTAGGATTCGTGGCGTCGAATTTTAGGGGGGTAGGCGCACGCTTGGGGCCTGACCAGAAGGGGGTTCCACTTGACGTAACAGAATCCTTAGGGAAGTTATACAAGAGCTGCTGAATCGCGTTGTTGAAGTTGGCCTCGAATTGGTGGCGCGCCCAGACGATGCAGTCGTCGAAGCTGAGAGGCTTGTCTGTCACCAGAAAATTGCGGAGAATCTCCAGCGTCTGTTTCTCATTGCCAGACTGCTTCAGGGTCGTCTTGATGTAGTCCGGCTGGGTAAGGTATAAATTTACAGATTCGGGCGGCCCGACGAAGCTTGTCTGGAAGAGCTCTCGCGCCCATGCAATCGTGTGCTCTATCCGGTTGGGGAAACTCCTCAGCGTGCACATCGGGAAAGACTGTTCGGGGGGATCCTGGGAACTAGAGTATGACTCCGTGAGCCAAGGTAGGATAACCTGGGTATTTCCCTTGGTGCCCAACGTTCCACTTTCCAGCAGTGGCTTTTGGAAAAACACGCAACGTCGGTCAATATATGTTCGCGCCTCAACATTATCCAGAGCGTTGGTTACTCCATCCAGCTGTTCCCAGAAATCCTCGCTAAAGATATGCTCAGTGTCGGCGCCTACGCGATCTCGCAAGGATACAATTTTACCCTGGAGGTCAGGGTTCATCGCCTGCACAGCCTTCGCAGCCGTGTCACTCTTCAGCTGGCCAACATCCTTAGGGCGGAACAGGAATTGACGGTTTAGATTGCTGGTTTCGATTTGATCCATATCCGTGACCGTGATTTTACCATTCTCGCCGGTAGCAAGACCAATCATTGCCCAGTTCTTCAGCATCTCACATCCAATTGCGCCAGCCCCAACAAGGAACTCCTTAACTTCGGAAATCTTCTTCTGGAAGGTCTTTCCAAACACCGCAATCTGACCATCGTATCGGGTTCCCAAGGGGGCACATTCTTCCTCAGATCGCGTGACCGATGTGGGAAGGGATTCGAGGGAGTCGAAGTAGTACCATTGAACGACGGGATGGAACTTGCCTGAGACGGCTTTCAGCACTTCTTGTGCAGCAAGACCACCGAAGAAAGCTGTCATTGGGCTCAAATCTCCCTGTGCCTGGTAGCTGAGCTCCCGAAGGATATCTTCATCAACTTCGCCTCCAATGCTAGACGCGATCTTGATGACCTCCTGCGCATCGCTCTCATTGTGGGGTCGTGGGAACTTGCCACCGTGAGCCTCTGCAAACCTGTGGAGCGCCTGAACACCAAGGTGGACCTTGGCCGGTCGGTCCATCTTCATGAAATCGGTAATTAGAATTTCCGGATCTTTGAGCTGTTTCTCAAAGGACTGGAAGTTTAGCGTCTTGGGCATCTTGACCTGAGTGAAGATACCGCCACTTTGATAAGTCCCCAGTCCAGAGACATCTCCGATAGAGAAGGTATATGGGCCCTTAATGTCGACTTTACGTGGTTCAGAGTTATTCAGTTTCTCCATGCCCTTAACTTCAGTAAAGGTGACATAGTCATCTTCCCCTAGTCCATGCCTAGCCTCGTCGGACGCAGACACTAGGCCTTCTTCGTTAATTCCAGCAACAATACCGCTCGTGGGCTCCTCCCCAGTCGCGTCAACTACTGTGAAATTCTCGCCAAAGTCGGTGAAGATGTAGCCAAACAGGCCAAAGGTATCCGTGATAATGACAAAAATTTTGTTCTTGTGGCAATACTCAGCAATAGCCAGCTGGTCTCGCAGCGGGGTGGACGTTAGAACAACAACTTGGTACATGTTAAGCTGGGATAAATCGTCCGTCAAGTTTTTCGAGCCGTGGATGGTGACGGGTGTGTATGCATTTAATTCCGCGACTCGAGGGGCGGTAGCTTCGGCGCGGGATTTTCCAACATCATCTGGGCTGAGGAAAAATTGAGAGGAGAGATCTGAGATGGCGACAGGGGTAGGGTCGTGAAGAGTGAGGGACTTGACACCGGCGAGGGCGACATTTTTGGCTGTTATCAAAGAGCGGTTAATATGTAGCACATCATACCGCGGGGGTTACCGTATTAAACATACCGATCTCAGCACCTAAGCCTTTAAGCCCCACAATGAGAACATTGGAAGATCCCATCCGCTTCATAGCTTCATGGCCGAGGACGTATCTGGGGGCGGGGATCGATGTCATGAGTTACCATCCACTTCAAAACACATCAGAGGGGCAGCGGGTAATATGCCTTACAGTTGCCGACTATACAACGACTCGTCGATCTCCGGATGCGTGGACTTGTCCACGATTTCCCGTGGACTGCTCTGCATTGTGCCGTTCTAATAAGTGGATATCGTGTCGAGTTAGCTAATGTTGAGCCTTGAGAGAGAGGAAATGTAAGAAGCATGGGTAGCACGGAAGAACAAAAACTGAGGTAGGTTGAGAGACGAAGGCAGAAGACTTCAAGCAAGGTACTCTTTTATATATAGCCCCAGTCTGTATCCTGCGTGGGGCTGCATAGTAGAAGAGGAAAAAGAAAAATAAAAAATAAAAAAAAGTTTAGGCAACGAGCGGCGCAGTCACAGTCACAGTCACGAAGCATGGTTGATCCCGAAAGATTTCATATTTCCAAAACTGGTACAGATATTTACTTCCCCTCACGGTCTTCACTGAATCTAAACAAACACAACAACAACAACAAAAAACATACCTTCAAAACCTTCTTCTCGGGATGTTGCAGAAGAGTATACTGCTGCCGCTCTGAATCTTCTTCGCCTGCGGAAGCCTTGCGCTTACCCAGCTTCCCAGTCCGCTCCGGGATGTCGGCGTGAGATTGAATTGTGAAGGCTGGCTAGAGGGCGGGAAACCTTGTTCTCGGCAAACAAGGCTTTCCTTTCCTGTTCCTGTTCCTTTCCTTTACAGACAACAAAGGGGATGCGGGGCTGTTGCTGTTGCTGTTGGTGAGGGTTTAGGATGGGCGGAGTTGATTGGGGTTGGTTCGGAGGAATGGAGGGGTGGAAATTAGAGAAATGGCAAGATGGGAGTCCCGACGCTCAGACGGTTCAGGGCGTGCGAAGTAGCGAAGAGATGTAGATCTAGGTCTATGTACTTGTATTCACAGGATAGAAGAAGACAGGAGCAATTCAAAGCAACACAACGACGCAGACGGTGGAGGGAGTTCCATGTTGGATGACGACGGAGAAAGGCTTGGCGGTGGGGGGACGGGCTGACTAATCGCCCTGCTTGCCCTAAAATCTGTAGCTTACCAGACAGCGTATAGGCTTGAAAGTATCTTGAAAACACTACAGAAAACGAAAAGAAATCATTCAGTCATAGCGATAACTATTTGCATTGTTGAGTACATATCACTATGTACCAACCAGTCAATTTGAAGTTATCTGTCATAGAAAGTAGTAACTAGTATGTATCTCTGCGCCACCTCAAGTCAAAAAAAAAGGGGGAGGTCGGCCGTTCTGTGTATCTAAATTCATTTATCATTAAAGGAAACAAAGTGAAAACCCAAACTTCATTCCATCAGGAAAAAGGATGCCACCGCTCTCTTCCATATGCACATATCACCCTGGTGATCGATCGATCTCATAACCAACCAATCCGCCCTAAGCCTTCAGTCAGTCCAGCAACCGTCTTCCCCCAAAAGAATTCATGCCCTCATCTACTGCCCCAAACTCCTCAACGCCTCCTGCTCCCTCGGATTCAACAACACAAACAGCTCCTGAAATCTCGGCGTAGGCGCAACTTCCCCGAAGAACCCCATCAAATACGCCAACGTCTCATCATCTCGCTGTCTCATCGCCGTCCCGGCCCCCGGCCCGCCATCCTCACCCAAATACCCCATGAGCTCTTGCTTCGTAATCCCCAAGCCCAGATCGAGCACATTGCCCAGTCCCGAAATGTCTTCCCAATCGTCATTCTCCTCATCGTCGCTTTCCACTTCATCGTCTCCAGTTTTCCCTACACCCGCAGCTACCGCCCCGGCCGCAGCAGCATCCATATCCCGATTGCCCGTCGCGGACACAAGCTCCTCCGCAAGGACCTTGATAATCTTCAACGGCGCAGAGACAATGGTATACTGATCCGGATCCCTACGCGCCTGCGAGCGCGTCTTAATGCGGCCCGTGTCCTGGATAATCAACTCCCCCTTAACCTGCACCTGCGCCACACGAGGGTCATCCAGCTGATATATATTCGACAGCGCAATGACGTTCTGCCGAATCTCGTCGTAGCCCGCGAACGTGATGCTGTTCTCGAGCCACTTGGAAAACACCACCGCGAGCCCGGACTGCCCATCTATCGTCAGCGTGGAGAGGAAGTCGACCACTTCTCGCGCGCTGATGAGGGAGAGCCGTGCGAAGACGAGGATTAGCGATTGGATGAATTGTGCTTTTTGGGCGGTGGCGAGACGGTGCGCGACGGCATGGAGGAGTTGGGTTAGATAGGGGCCTAGCTTCTCGGAGCCGGCTTTCTCGACGAGCTCCGCGGCGAGGCCGCCAACTTCTTCGGCTGCGTTGTCGTCGACAGATTGGCTGAGGAGGTGGTCGATGATGATCAGGACGACCTCGACGGCACCCTTGCCTGTTTGTGGATCCTGCCAGCTAAGGAATTGGGTGGAGTCGTGCTGGAGCATGTTTTTCACAGCGATGGTGGCGGCGGGGAGGACGTTGCTTTCTGTCGAGCTGAGGAGGAGGCGGTTGAGTTTAGGCATTATTGTTGCAACAAGCCCTTGTGGGAGTGGCTCGAGGCCGTATTCAGTCAGAGCGCGGATAAGGTCTGCAGCTAGGGTTGTGAGGGCGTTTTCATGGGTCATGTTTCCAACATCGATTGCGCCGGTCAAGGACGGCAACACCTTTTCGCAAAGGCGGACGTATGCCTCAGCTCCCTGCTGAGAGATATATTGGACAACATCTTCAAAGGTCTCTGTGACTATTGTTGCCAGCTGGAAGTTACTTGTCCCGTTACTGGCGATGTTGAAAAGAACATCAAGGGCAATAGACGATAACACAACGCTTGGGTTGACCATAATCGCATCACGAAGGGTATCAAGCAGGGTAAATTTAAGATCGTCGCTGTCTAACATCTCACGCAAGTCGCGGGAAGACAGGAAGTCCGACAAGGTCGTGATGACAGGAATTTGCAGGGGTTTTGTCATGGATGATGGAAGTGCGGGGAGGAAGTCCTGCAGGACTCGGATACATGAGACTTTGACGATTTCTGATGGATCCTCCGTGATGGCCTTGATGGACGCCTCAAGGTATGATAGCGCAGTCTGATGGAATCCTTCGCCGGCGGTCCTTGCAATTATTCCTGAAACAAGGTAACCACGGGCTCGAAGGAAAATATCTTCCTGTGCCATGCAGAACTGGACGAATTCATTGCATCCATTCGCTGCCTCAAGGGAAATATGTTGGTCTACGTCGTTAAAGTCGCGGAGGAGCTGCGTTAGGATGAAAAGGGCAGCTTCACGTAGTTTCCACCTGGAAATAAATTGTTAGCAATGAATGTATATGTCATGGGTGGGTGTAAGGAGGGCAAGATATAATCTACATACGACGAGGTCGAATCCGAGAAAAGCGCATTGGTATAAGCAAGCAATCCATCAACCGTAGTGCCCTTGATCCATTCACCAAGTCTAATGATTAGATCCCCTCCACAAGCGCGCGGCGTGTAGTTGGCCGTGAGCGACGTTTCCTCCGACAGGAACAGATTAACATCGATATCCCAAAGCCCTTCCTCCTCAGTCGTGATCTGCGCATAGGACACAACTAGTTTCATGACTTCTGGGAGCCAGCTAGAAGTGCTTGCAGCGCTCCCTGCCGCTTGTAATTGGCTCTGTAACTCTGCTTTAACAGGGGGCGCCCGGAGCAATGCTTGCATTAGGTCCAGTTCTTCGAGAACTAAGTAATCGAGTGTATATGGCAGACCATCGGCGTCCTCGGACCGCCCTTGTCTCTCATCAAAGATGAATAGTTCCTGATATGCAGTTTGTGTGGTGGATAGTTCGGTCCAGACGGTGCTGAAGAGCAATGTGCTCTGTGGGGTAAGAAGGGCCGGGAACACAGCGCGTATTTTCATCAATGTCTTCAAGGAAGAAAAAACGACAAAGGACAAACACCACTCATATTAGCAGAGAGTCCCCAGTTGTAAAGATCACATCAATTAAAATAGGATAGTGGAATTGCTTGAGTATATATACCTTAACAACCTGCAGCTTCAACGCAATCATCCCCCGCCACTCCTCCGGCCCAGGCCCATCTCCAGCTTCCTCCTCCTCAGTCGGGGTCGCAGGAAGCGGCTCCTTCATGGTTGCAATGAAAAACGGTGACCAGCCATTCAAGGCCTCATCCAGAAACTGCTTAACGGCCACCTTATGCTGCTCAATGACCATTTCCAGAGTATCAAAACACGCGCGGAAGACAGACACAGCCAGGGCCCGCAGCACGGGTTTTATCGACGGGTTGGTCGCGATGGCAAAGACAGTTGACACGAGCTCCCTCGCGACGGTGAAGAACTGCTCCTCGCTAAACCCACTCTCGACCAGGTCGGACAGCACCCTCAGCGCGCCGTGTAGCTGCACCTCGCTACTACTCGGGATAATCTGCAGCAGAGTGGGCAGCAGCTCAGGCCACTCCTCGGGGAAATCGGCACTGGCAATCTTGCTCACGACATAGCTGGCGGAGGCTTTCACTTTGCGTTCACCGGCGTCGTCAGAGGTCGCTAGTTCGAGCAGGACGCGACGCAGTTGGGCCTTGTTCGCGTCGTTCACGAGGACCTGGCCCTTGAACTCTTCCAGGTGCGGGGACCATGCTGCGAGCACGAAGGTGCGCAGGACGAGCAGGGCGGATTGGCGGAGATGGATTGGGACGGACTTGTGGGAGGCGATGGAGGCGAGGGATAAGGGGAAGTTTTCGTTTGAGTAAAGGGTGAGGATTTGGACTTCTGCGGTGTTGCGGGTCGCGGGGGCAGGGGATTGGGTGTCTGCCAGCAGCTGGAGCAGCTGTTGCTCCATTGTTGGATGCGGGCACCAGGTTATACTGGAGGTGCTGGTATGCTTATTATGCTGATATTGTGTTTGGCTTTGTTCCTTATCCGGCCTTGTTGTTGGAGGGGTTTTGGAGTGTAGGAGTGTGAGAGTGTGTAAGGAGTGAGAGAGTTGTTTGTTGGTTGGATTGGATGAGTTTGCATGATTGGATGTTTTTTTGGGTCTTTGTTCCTGCCAACGCTGACGGAATCCGCGTAGCGCTCCATCAACCACCAGTCAGTCATCCCACCTCCTCTTCCCCGGACATCTGATAAAGAATTCAGTAAGTGATATCATAATTAAGAGAGGCAATGATATATACACCCGACAGCGTGCGTTACGCGGCTGGGACAACACCCGCGGGAGGGGATAGATTACCGTATAGCGGGGTAATACCGCAATGGCACGCCCCGGGTATTACCATTCCAGCGATTCTTTTTAACTATCTTTAACTATCTTGAACTTATCTTGAACCAGGAAATAGGCTACAAGCACGTAAACCGGCTGCCTAGTTATCAACATGGCTGATTGATGAACCCTACCTTGTATTGAACAATCCTAGTTTCTGGCTATTGGATCCATGGAAATGCTCCGCTAAGTCTTCCAGCGTTGTCAGTCTACTAGTACATACAGAGTACATACATTATTATACCAAAGAGAGAAAATGATCCATGGAGTAAATAAACTCAAGTCAGCCTTTACTAGCCCTGCTAGAGGCACTCCACAGATGCAGGTGCAACAGCCACAATAAAACACTTGAGCAGCTGATTCCAAGGCTTCGAGCTCTAGCGGCTGGCGGAAATAAGCATTAGAACAAATATTGGGAAGAAAACAGGTGAGTTGGGAATGAGAGTTATATTCATCAGCGAAATTCCGGATATCAGGTTTGATTGAATGACGCGGTGGATATATTATGTATATATATTTGATATTACATAGTTAGTTACAGCGTAGAAACCAAAAAAATAAGGAGTCGGGTTGTAATTTAAATATCAGGATTCTGTATACTGTATACTCAATCTAGATATCCATCCATAACTATCGCGATATCAAATCTATAACTACCCATACATACTCGCAGAACTGTGTCTCGACCTATCTCCATCGTCTCTTTTGTATCTCTTTCTTCTCCCTTCCACACAGGATAGAGATGAGAGAAATGGCGGCCATGGACTGGTATGATGTAGTTACTGTACAATGCACGTGTACATGTACATACACACTAATATTACCTCCTCAGCCACTTCTGACTATACCTGACCATACTTGTATTACACCGTGGTGCTTGACTTGATACTTGATACTCAGTTGGAGTGTTTAGTTCCTTGTCTTTTCGTTTGCAACTTTCTTACTCTTAACAACTTCTTCTTCTTCTTCTTCTTCTTCTTCTTCTTGATATTTCCCCTATCTTATATTTCCCTTTTCCCTTTTGTTTTTCTTTTGCTGCCACTGCCACTGCTGCTGCTGCTGCACCAGGGCTGCGAGAGAGTGAGTGAGTGAGTGAATTAGTGTTTTAGCTAGTTAACTAGCGGACTTCTCTCGTGCTTTTGGTGGATCGTCAGTTTCTGTCTCTTCTTCTCTCGCGGATCGTCTTCTTCTTTTTGGCTATTGGCTCTCTGTTCGCTCTTTGTTATATCTCTCGCTTGATCCCAAGCTGTCCTCCGTTGCCTACACCCCCAGGTACAAAAAAGCCCCGATTCCTGCTACTTGCTTAAATACTGCCTGTTGCTCGCCTCCTGCTAAATAGCTACCGCCCTTGATTTGGTGTCTGTGTCCTCCTGTCCATAGATAGGTAGACTTTGTTTCAGCCATATTTAACTGGCCAGGCAGAACAGAGCCCCTCCCTCCCCTCAACACCACACCCTCAGCAACCACCATCTAACGCACACACACACACACACACATACACATACACCCTGTTGCTTTCGGGAACCCTATATCCAAGTCACAGACCGTTGCCCGCGAGAGATGCTCAATGCTTGGACTCAACCACAGGCCGAATCCACTATCCCGCTGCTCTTGCACAACCACCGCTACTCCGGCTCGTGTTGTCGTGGTCGCTGTGGTTGCCAGTGTTGCTGTCGTGACCTCTACCAGTACCACCGCCACCCCACACCGTGAATAGTTAATGCCCACATCCTATATCTCTACAGACATACATACATACATACATACATCCATCCATACATCAGCAGATAAATAAATATCCCTACAGCTATTTATTACCAACACAACCCCCTTCTTTTCTGACGCCATGGCCCAGTCCAACAAGGGCGTTGCCAGTGGCTGCAACCTGCGGCTGTCCCCTACCCCCTCCGGCCTCCCCCTCAGCGCCCAACCCGCCGCGACTGTTGCCCCTGCACCATCCCCTAACAATAATAACTGCGCCGGGAGCACTACCACCACCATCACTACTACCACCTCCACCACCACTACGACGACGACGACGAACAGCAACAATAACAACAATAACAATCACACCCACAATCACCGTACATCTTCGCTTCCAGATACCTATGCTGCTCTGGCCTCCTCGGTGGCCTCGTTCCTGGCTGTCAGCATCCACCAGATCCTATATCTGCGCGCCATCTATCCCCAGCCAACCTTCCTCCCCGTCCGCCACTTCAACCACCCCGTCAGACAGTCAAGGCACCCCAAAGTCTGCACCTGGGTAACTGATGCCTGTGCTGCCGTCGAGGCCCAACTACTAAAATGCTCCGTCGCTGCTGTCTCCGTCGTCATTCTCTCCGCCAGCACCAACCGCCCTCTCGAGAGATATACCTTCGACATGACCCAGATACCAGAGGTGCCGGCTAGTGACATCCACACTCCATTCGAGAACTCCTCGTCTGCTGATCAACAAGAACAACAACTACCATCAACTACAAAGCCCCAAACTCATCCCCGCCCCGCCCCCATCGACCTCGAAGCCCAATTCCGCGCCGTCCTAGCCAGACTCGCCTCTGCCTGTGCTCGCTTAACTCCTCTCCCCCGCGATGAAGAATACACGCCCACCCTCCACATCGTCCTGCGCAACAACGCTGACAGCCCCGCCGGCGTCACCAAAGAGGAACAACTCTGGATCGCCGCTGAGCCCGATAGAAAAGTTGACCTGAACAACACTAAGCCTAATAGTAATAATAATACAACCCGCCACCTGAATCCCACCGGCACTGGTAACGGCAATGACAATGACAACTCCTTCGACAACAGCAGTACTACGGCCCGGAATAGAGGCGGTGAGATGAATGGCAGCAGGCGCGGCTCGCGCGGCCGGGCGAAAACGGTGCCCGTCCGGACGGTGGATGCTGGAGAGATGAAGTTGGAAGTGTGGGTTGAGGAGGCAAAGGGGAAGTTTGAAGAGCTGGATCGGATTCGGGCGGAACATCCACCATGAACCTGGAATTGGTAATTGGAATTTGAAATTGACATTAACATTAAAGGGAGGTCAATTTTATTTTATTTTCTGATTTGGAGGCTGATAGGAAATGGAATGGAGACCTTTCTCCGTTTCTCAATTTGACACAATTATTTTTTTCTTATAGAATTTAAAAAAGTGACAAAAAATCACTTTGCTGTTGATGGATTTTGATATTGTTTTGTTCTGTTTTCTTTTGCTCAGCGGTTTCCTTTGATTCCGAGTCGTCTAAGTTAACCGTTCGTTGCATTCACGTTCCTTACATTCTCACTGTCATTCATCCATCTCATATTTTCCCCTGCCCCTCCTCGCCGTAGCTAATATATTCTTTCTTCCCCTTTCCCTCCTTTTCACATCATTCATTACGTTTACATTTTCGCTTTCCTTTCGTATATGACGGCCTCACAACATATCTTACTTATTATGTCCCGTTACTTTATTTGAAAACTGCAACTGGCACGACTCTCCTTCCTTATCAATTTCATTCCCTATTCTCATTTTAGCTTAACCTGCTTTCTTTCCTCCATTCTCAGCCAGCTTTTCTTTTCTTTTCCTGTTTCTTTTTCCCTCATTTACATTTGTTCACCTGAACAGATGTCCTCGTGGCCAAATTGATACTGAACCCTTTTCTTTGTTGGGTCACTTTCCTTCAATTTTCCTTCTCCTTTTTCATTTCATTTCACCATATTATGTTTCTGTTTCTACATCTGAGTCTTATGTCTTCTTCTCTTTTTCTTTTTCATTAATGTTGTTTTCTCCCTTTCTCTTCCTCTTTTCAAATTCAAATCCATTTTCATTTTTCATCCATTTCCCCCCTCCTACAGGTCATATGTCCTATCAAGTGTCAAGTGTCACGTAAACGCCCCCCCTCGAAATTGTCAGGAGAAGAAAAATTCAAAAATCCAAGGAAGAAAAAAAAAAGGAAAAAAGGGGTTCATCATATCAATGGAAACTGCAACAACCGCCCGCGTCAGCCTGAGCTATCTATCTATCTGAAAAGAAAAGAACAAGGATGAATGAAAATGACAAAAACAAAAACAAAAACTGTCAGTGATAGATAATCAATCAATGTTCCTGAAAACACAGTTGCAGTGCTTGGAGGGGTAAAAGGGGAGAGTGAAGAAGAGAAGGGAAGAGAGATGAAGGAATAAAATTTGAGTAAACAGTATGAGAAAATGAGAGGTATTCCTTTATCTCTCTTCTCTTCTCCTTTCTCCCTTTCTTCCCTTTTATCCCTCCAAGCACTGCAACTGTGTTTTCAGGAACATTGATTGATTGTCTACTGCTGATGGTTTTTGTTTTTGTTTTTATCATTTCCATTTATCCTTGTTCTTTTCTTTTCAGATAGATAGATAGCTCAGGCTGACACGGGCAGTTGTTGCAGTTTCCATTGATATGATGAACCCCTTTTTTCTTTTTCTTTTTTTTTTCTTCTTTTTTTTTTTCTTCTTCTTCCAAAAAAAAAGGGGGGGAGCGGAGGGGTTGAATGAAACGATGATATGCAATGAAGAAGTTGAGAGCGAGAGGGAACAAGAATATCAGATATTTCAATCATGTTTCTTTTGATCACATTTCTTTTATGAGCGTTGCCATCGTCCTTCTCTTTCATATACTTGCTTATGAGGTATTTCTGGATAAGGTGGAGGGAGGGAGGGGGGGAGTCTCGGTTATATTTTTCTGAACATCCTCTGCACAACAGAGCTATCAGCAACATTATCAAAACATTTTACCCTTTTTACCTACGTTTTACAATTATTTTTCTTTTAAGCTTGAGATGAAGCTAGTACAAGAAATGGAGGAAAGATGGCAGGACGAAACCGTAAGTTCAAGAAGAATCCGGGCTGGCAGCGCGGCCGGGAGAAGAGAGAAATATTTTGAATGGGCTTTCTGACTTTTCGGAATTGAGATGTCTTGCATTATAGAAATTAATGATCTCAATTGTTAAACGTTTTATTCAGGTTTCAGTATAACTTAATTCACCGGAAATGAATGAACAAGTTGTAGCTGTAGAGTCGTCCCGTCTCCAGGTGCGGTTGGGCCAGAGTAGCGCATTTCGATGGGAGAGGGATATTTTTATGGAACAGAAATCGGGGGAGTGGGATGAAGGAGATGGACAGGAAGGGGCGGGGACGGCAGAAGAAATAATATTGGAATAAAGTAATAAAATAAAAGGGTAGCAATTGAGGATGATACAGGATATCTAATACGGATATCTATTCCCGCCATTGAAGCATGCAGAACAAGCAAGTCCAAATGATGGCGTGGCTGACAATCCAGAAAAGAATTAGAAAAGAAGGAAAGGCAAAATATAGAAAGAAAAGACAAAGAAGAAAAGAAAAAAGAAATGGAGGAAAGAAGAAGGGGTATAGTTGAAAGCGGGGGGGTTAAAATCGTTTTCAGAACCCGAAATCCAACCCAAGATCCGACCCAAATATAACGAAATAATAGGCAAGAAGAAAAGTAGGGTGCAAAAATGAGAAGATAAAAAAGTATATACTTCTAAAATAACAAAACAAACGAATCACCCAATGCCCCTAAGACATGCTGACAACACACATTGCAAACAAACGCCTTGCTTATTGAACATATGAACTTGGAGTTTAGATTTGAATGCAAGAAAGAAGCAGAGGAAATGGAGAGGAAACGCGAAAAATACATGAACTGTGGCAGATGAGTATTAAATCAAAAGAAAAGGTCGGTTTTCATCCCCTGACCTATCATATATCCAACGCATAGAACTAGCCAGTGAACGAGGGTTTAATTGTACGGAAACTCCCCCAGGCCGCGATCAGGTACGTCAACCGGGTAGCGGAAGATCGGTCTATTAATGTGATGAGGATCATTATTGTTGTTGTTGTTGTTATTAGTGTGGTTGATGTTGATGTTATTATTGGAGGCAATACGCTGGCCTGGAACAGCCGGTCTTGCCTGCATGTGTGTAGGTTGGGTGGGTAGTGGAGATGGCTGGGTCAACACTGTTTGATTATGAGACTGAGTCTTGTCCGGAACGCCGCGCATAACAAGGGGCTTGTTCAGTTGCTGATTCCACTGTGGATGTGGATTAAGGGATGGGATCGGTCCGAATGAGTTGGGAAGCGTGGACATCACAGGCTGGGGTGCCGGCGGGGGCGCGGACAGAGGAAAGCGAAGATTGGAGTGTATTCGGAATTTAGGTGGACCTTGAGGATTTTTGAGCTGGGGCTGAGGTGGTGAATGTTGTTGAGCTTGATTGATATCTCGGGGTTGATTTAGCCTCAGATTCTGATTTTGATTCCCATTCTGGTTCTGGTTCTGGTTCTGATCCTTCCGGGCGGCGGAGACTCGTTGCTGCGGCATCGGTGTTCCTTGCACTGGATAGCCAAGATGATCATATTGATAGTGGTAATGTTGATGGTGACCATGATTATATTGCTGTGGATGAACGCTAGGAACGTGCGGAAATGGAACTGGAACTGGAGCCGCAGCTGGCGGGATAAAATGAAAATCCCACCCGTGATTCCAGATGTGAGGTTGCTGAGGATCTTGCCGGACAATCGGCTGATGGGTTGGATGGGGCGGCTGTTCTACTGTGTTCATCTGTTCCATATCTCCTCTAAAATGAAGAAACTGGTTGGCTCCGTTTGGGACCGGAATTGCTTGGGGGTAGGCCACAGCTAATGGATGGTTGTGATTGACTGCGGCATACATGGGAACATGCGCAGGGCCAGCAGCACCAGGTTGGGCTGGATTTGCTGGCGCGCCTGGATTCTGCCTCCTTCTGAGCAGATCGTTGTAATGCTGTTGCTGATTCCGTAGATGTTGTAGATACCTGCGATGATCCACCGACTTGTGATGTTCGTTCTTGGGGGCCTCGACCGCTAATTCCTCGATATTCAACTGCGGATTGGCCTTCATGACCTCATCTATCGCTTTCTTGTGCGCACTTGAAACCTCCTCGAAATGGCGACTATTGGACCTGCCGTCATGGAGGGGACAACTATTTGGACGTTTGTTAAAATGCCTGTACCCCTCCGTTGTGATGGCCTTCTTGCAGACGTAGCACATTACCGAGCGGCACTTCACGCACGTCATTTTGTTGCAGCCATCTTCCTTGATTATTTTAACCTTGCACTTTGGATTAGGGCAGGTCCTGATAAGTGCTTCACTCATCGCCTCCTCAATTTTCTGTCTTGCGGGTGTTTTCTTGTCATTGGCCTGCTCGCAGGTTTGTGGGCTGTGAGCTGCTAGGCCGCAACGACGACAGCTCACTTTTCTGCAGGCTGGGTTCTGGCAATAGAATTGGCAATCACCCATTTCAATCGGTGGGCATATAGCTTTGAAGTCACAAAAGGGACAATCATGTAGACCCTCAAGCTCTGCTCTTGCAATCTCGTCGCGCTGCTGAAGCTGTTCTAATTTCTTCATCAGTGGGTCACCTAAAACCTTGGCTAGAATCTGTTTGTCGAAGCCAGCACCACAGCCGCTTATGTCCATGCAATTCACTTCATATTTCATGACACCAATTTGGGATTTTGCAGTGGATCTGACACATTCCTTGCAGAAGAAGTGGATATTTTCCCCTGCACAAGGTATCATATGAATTATGGGGACATCGGTATAACAACATTTGCATTCCATGACATTACCCTGCGCAATGCATGTCGCTTCTTTTTCGGCATCCAATTTAGCCAACTCTTTTTCCCGTTGACGTGACTCTAAAATGGGGTTAGCTAGTGGGCACGAGATCAGGGTTTGGTTGTCTGGATTTGAAATGTCCCATACCTTCCCTTTTCCGTCGCTCTTCTAAAGCATCCTGGAGTTCACGCAATATATCAGAATTCATCGGAATATCTGGCTGCCGTACCAGTTCGACGGGGCCCTGATTGCTGCGTTGTCGATGTAAAGGAAGAGGATTCGTCATATTGGGTATGTTTTCGGATTCGTCTAGGCTTGCATAAGCAGCGAACAACGATTTCTGAGACTGTAGCACAAAGCGTATGTACTCTGGACGAATTTTAGGGAAATTTTGCTCTAACAGATATTGACTGACAGATGTTAGCTATTTATAATAATAATAAAAATAATAGTAACACGAAATAAAGCCAAATTAGAGTGAAAAGTGTTTGTAAAATGAAACTACCCTGTGATTTATAGATGCTCTAGGTTAATCCCGAAGTTTCCAGGGATATAAACAAAGAGCCGCCAGTGAGACTATACCAGGAATGGAATTTGGCCTACCTATCTCGGTAGTAAGACTTGCCCCGAATGACCCCATCGTCTCTGCCCCAGGCTCTCTTGGAACTAGTTGATTGCTGAGACTTTCGCGGAATATTTTGTGGGAGCTTTTCGAGTTTTGCTACTACTTCTTCTTCTTCTTCTTTGGGGTATGGACCCAAATCCATGATAAGGTGGACCAAAGCTTCCTCCACCTCAACGCCTGGGTTGACAAACGCGAGACGCTTGTAAAGCTGTCCAACATACTTGAAGCTGATACTCGGGAAAATGGTCGCGACTCGAGCATACATCTGGTCATTTCTGTTTTGTGGAGAGGTTGATCGGGCTCGTGGTTGACCCAGGCGGGAAGCACCACTTGACCTTGGCACCTTGATGGCGCCATTTTCATCATCACCCGTGAGGTCTATAATCTCAGTGAGCTTTCGTTTCATGGCTCATAGCTTAGGCGCTGTGATCTCCGAAATAAAAGGTTGGTGGTTGTTAACTAAAAATTTTCTCTCAGAGCAGGGACGACAAAAAATAAAATAATAAATAAATAAAAGAAATAAAGAGAGAAGAAATATAGGAAAGTGAATCCACATACCAAGAGATTCCAATGATACAAATGGAAAAAGGCCTCTGTACTTGTAAACAAAGGTGCACACAACTTGGCAGCTGGATATCCAGAATGGGAGAAAATGTATCTGATATCATCGACACCCGCTGCCCTCATTTACCAAGCCTGACAGGGTAGGATGAAACAGTAGTCAGCTCCTGAGATAGATCGAAGAGCTTATGCTCCTTGAAGATTAGGGGATTGAAGCTTGCACTTAAGGCGATGAACAAGACTAGGGGTAGGGTCTAAGAAGAACAGAAGCCCTAGTTAATGAAGAAGTGAAGCAGCCTCCAGAGCTGCAAATATAGATGCTGGAGCTGAGTCCCTCTACCTGCGAAGTGTCAAGAACTAGCTGGTGGAGTGGTGGAGGCGAGGAGGTTCGCGGTAAGAAGATCCAGACGCAAATCATTCATTCATGCTTTTCACGTCCTTGAGACTCAGCCTGGCACCTCGAACCTCGAATCTTGGATTTCCCTTTGTTAGTCAGAGATGCATAGAGAATGTTGGAAATCCTATCCGCGTGGCGGGGACAACTACAGACACCAACTTCACAGCCAGACCATGTTGATTCCCATTTCAACTTGTGCTTGGGGCGCTGTTGTCCCACCATGAAGAGCAACGAACGACGATGTCGTTGTCCGTCCATGGAGTCAAAAACTTCCAATCTAGGCTTAGCATAATCATGTGACTTTCAGCGTCGTTTGCTGACGCGCGACGGGTGACTAAGCAGCTTCCCCGGGCCTGATGATTCCTGGCCGAAACCCGAATCGGGAAGGCTTAACCCTGGGTCCGTCCCCGGATGACGTCGCTTTCCATCGGAACCAGGCACCGATTAAGCGGGGGAACCAGACCCCAACTCTTGGCGGAAGAACTTTCGGCCCGATTACACTCCTTTAAAACACAGTCCACTAACAAGTGAAGGATATTTCATACGTCGACTCACACCTATGTTACATTCAAAATATTCAAAATAGTGGTGGTTTTTCATACTATACAAGCGCATAGCTACCAGCCCAGTCTTAACCACTAGCCCCAGCCTGAACTCAGTTTTGCCCCTACAGAGAGCTGTTCCTGAGAGAGCTGCGCTGGACAGATATCAATGTTGATTAGTAATATATCATCAATGTCTAGCTAGTGTATGTCCTTTTAGAGGGACCGAAAATAGCCGACGACTGGAGACCCGCTTTGTGGGTGTTCCTTATTCTGTCCCTTGACAGGGAGACGACTGCCTAGGAACGGCGGCGCACTTGTGCATGCATCACCAGGTCTTCTATTCGGCCATTTGCACGAATCAGAGACGGCGCTCCCTTGCTTCTTTTGAATCCCTGTCGAAGATATAAAACCTGCCTGGGTAGCTTTGTATTTCTACAACGCCCCTTCATCCAGCTCGTCGAGATCCTAGGACTGATGAAATTTGCTATACATATAAACTTATATCAACACAACAATATACCCCACTCACAGAGCGCGGCTCGTCTTTAATCAAAAATAAAGGAAGAAATAAGAGAAACCAATAGCTCAAACAGAACCCCAAGCCATGGGGTCCTCCGATTGCTACCTGCCCCCCTCAGACTCCCCGGACCTCACTCTCGTCGTCCCCACCACCGCAGAGCGCATCCAATGTCTGAAAGCAAATAGCCGGGAATGGAGAGGTCTATTGGATCCTGATCAATATATTCAGCGCGAGAATCACCTCATGAATCAGGACATGACCAAGGACGGCGCAATGACCCAATGGATCCTCGTAGACCGTCATCTTCCCCCCGATAACCGTCCCATTCTCAGCAGCTGCGAGTCGTTTGGCAAACGCGCCTGGTTAGCTCATGGCGGTGAGGTCGAGCAGATCATTGCCCACGGTGTTGGAAGCGTCTTTTCAAAACCAGAGTTTCGCCGTCGGGGTTACGGTGGGCGGATGATTACTGAGCTCGCGAAGAAGCTGGACACATGGCAGCAAGAAAATTCGGTGCGGAAGAAAGGCATATTTTCAGTCCTCTACTCGGATATCGGCAAAAACTTTTATGGGGAACGTGGGTGGAAGGCATTCCCTTCGTCGCACATCTGTCTCCCAACTACCTCAAATGATAGAGTACAGCAGGTTACCCCTGGAGTCGATTTGGGCATGGGGAGGGAAATGCAGGCAGACGACGTCAGACGCCTCATGTGCTCCGATGCAGCACTTGAGCGGTACAAACAAGTCTTAAGGGAGGCGTCATTGAATTCAAAAAAGGCCAAAGTTGGCTTTGTGCCAGATTATGCAGCTTTGAGCTGGCATTGGGCCCGCGAAGAGTTCTACTCAAAGATTCTGGTTCCTGCCAAGGGCGTGCCCAAGGTGAAGGGCGCTTGCGTTGAAAGCCGCAAAGTTTTCATCTGTTGGAATCGGAACTTTGGAAAGACCGACAAGGACCACGTTTTATATATCCTGCGGACGCTATACGAGGAACCAAACTCGCCAGCTGAAGAGAAGGCGGTAATCGAAGCGCTGGCTGCAACACTCTATCGGGCCCAGTTGCAGGCGCATGAGTGGGGTATGAGCCGTGTGGAGATTTGGAATCCATCCCCAGTCGTCGAAAAAGCCGCAAAAATGCTGAGTGAGACTGCGCAAGTCGAGCATAGAGAACAAACTAGCATATGTAGCCTTAAGTGGAATGGCAAACAGCTTGGGCTAGGCGAAGATGTTGATTGGTATTGGAACGAGAAGTATGCCTGGTGTTGACGCTTAGCTGCTGTTTCCTGAAGTTGAGCTCAAAGCTCCTTCTCATGGGTCTTTAGTTTCTCTTCCGCCCTTTTTATGTTGAGAGATTGTCTAATGCTTTTTATGGGTGGTGTCATTTATTTCCAGCCTTATTCCGATAGACCATGGGAGGAGTACTCAGATAGCCTGGTGGCGATATATTTGCTTTTGCGGCTTATGCGGGCAATCCCCCATACCGTATCGTATTTGATGTTGGTTATCACTGGTTTCCATGCTTCACGCACGCCTTGAGTCCTGTACGACGAGCCTGAGTTTCTAGCCTGGGCTTATAACAAACGCTTGCCGGACCGGGATATTGGTGGGAGTCGCTCTGTGTCATTCAGCAGTTCCTTTGTCAGTCTGTTACTCCAAATTTATCCACATACATACAGCAAGTTCTAGATCCGATTTTTATGTATGTACAGTACATTTCAGTACATAGTTGCGCAGTTCTAGATGGACAGGAAACACTTATGCGTACCTTCAAATTATCCCACGTAGCTTCGCTCCTCCAAGACTCCGGCAATAGATCTTTCCAACTCTCCAAGAATTCCGCGCGACCAATCGCCATCGTTGGATCCGGCGCGTTGGCCTCTAGGTAAACTTCCCCAACCCAGCTCACCGTAGTATCTTTATCGAGACTTGCCCCTAAAAGCCCCCAAAAATATGTCAGCAGTCCTCCCATGGCAGAAAAAGAAGAAATATACACCCAATTTCACAACCACCTTACATTTGAGCTCCTCATAAACCTCCCCAAGACCCAGCGACGCCGGATCCCCCATTAACCTCCTCACCAACGCATCAAATAACGGCCTTGGGAACCCAGCATCCCCCACCCTAACAGCCCGCCACAAATCCTGTACCAAAAACTGCTTCTCCATATTAATCCCCTGCAACACAGCCCCATCCAAAATATTTTTCCACGTTTGAATCTTTACGACAGCCGATGGGCTCCAACAAGCTAATCGACCATCATCACCACCACCACCAGAGTGACGCGCTTTGTGTACAAACCCGCACACCTCCACCCAGCCCCGCTCACACTCCACCGGCGAAAATGGGACATCGCCAAATACCTTTGTAATAGCTCGTCGCCGCTCCCTTTGCACAATGGAACTCTTATCGCCAGCGGTTTCAGTAGCAATAGCAGTAGATACTGCCCCAGTGCCATTGCCATTGCCGGCGTCGCTCATATCAACATCCGCGTCCTCCTCAGCGTGCGTACCACTATACACGCGCAGTGAGCGCTGGAGATACGGAAGTGCGGAATATGGGTTGCTATCCAGCTTCACGAGTTCGAGCGTGGCATTGCATTTGGCGATGGTTGTGATGTGGTGACGAGGCGTTTCTCCTGTCGCCTGTTGCGGCTCCGGCTGGGTAGAAGGGGCGGGTTGGATGAGGTATATGCAGTTTGAGGAGTGGACATGTCGGACCATGTAGGTTTGGGTAGTCGTACAGAGGTTTACGTAGGCATCGGTGGATGACGACGGGGCAGATGAAGACGATGGCGGGGCGGATTTTAAGTAGAGACTACGGTTTTTGATTGACTTGGACGTGGTTAGTGGAAAGCGCAATGGTTCATAGGAATTATTTATTGGTAATAATCTATTGAAATGTGGTATATGCGTACGGAGATCCAGTCTTCCCAGAGGAAATCAGCTCCGCCAATTCGGGTGGTAATTCCACGAGCTTGAGAGCGTGTTGCGGGCTCGTGTGTGTAAAGTCAAGCGCTCGTCCCGTGAGCTTTGCCATCGTTATTCGCTCCGCTCAGTTCACTCGAATAATTATCGATTCCACGATTAAATCTGATATAAGATAGGGAAATTTAAGGTATCTGGTTTGTATCTTGATCTTCTTTTCGCCGTGGGTGGGACTCGGAGCTATAGCCGCGGGGCTAAATTGCGTGATTAATTAGGGGCGCGTCTTTTTATGGTTTCGAGCGGCGCGCGGCTAAAACCTAACTAGTATCTTAGTAGTATTCTGATGGTGGCATCTGCCAATTACACAGTTACTGAGTAAGTGTCATGATGGTGTTAGGAAGTCCTGCGCCGTCTCAACGCTATCTTGACGTTTAATATTCGGCGACGTGTCGTCGAATATAATGGTGGAACATGTGTTACGATCGGCGACACGTGACACGGGTGGAATGGTGGATCCACGGTGTAATCACCGTAAATTAACCCTACGTTCTTCCCGTATGGTTAAAACAGCGTCGAAAATGAGATGCTCTTGAGTGGCTGCACTCCTATCTTACAGACTATACGGAGTAGAGGTATATAACAAAAAGGAGAGAGAGAACAAGACTACAAGTGATAGACATACATTTGCGAAATAAAATGTAACAGGGAGGGAAAAAAATGACATTAATAACAGTGAGAAGTAAAAATAGAAACAATGATAATAATAAGCTGTTATAAAAATACATCAATAGGTACTTTTTGAACAATACTATACTGTGATTTTGCTTCTTTAATCTCCTCCTTGTTGGATATTTCCTGTAGGCGTGCCACGCAGGGATGGAAAGAGTGCGTATGAGCGAGTCACAAATGGGAGTTTGTCTTGACGGCTTTGATTTCGATTGATTCATTGCTTAGTTTGTACCTTGCCTTGCGCTCTAGGGAAGGAAAAGAGCGGAAGAATTCAAATGATATCAGAAGTAGAGAACAACCAAAAGGGGGCTACTGGATTATAAGTATTATTGTATATCAGACTTATAACACGGATTGGGCAACACAAGAATGAAACCAATAAGGGGTAAAAAATCGACGTAGGATCGAGAGCAAGACAAGTAATAAAATAGCAGCATGCTAGAAACTCTCAGGTCTCTAGCATGAGGAAGGTATATAGATTATCTAGACACACGCAACACGCACACATTCCGACTTCATTATCATCTCCGGCCCACCCGCACAGGCGCAGCGCTATCTTCCTTCTCCGCTCGTGGTAGTTGTTCTCGTTTCCGGTTTTGCTATTGTTGCTGTTGCTGACCCACACCCTCGCCTCCAGAATTACTCCTCTTTCCGACGTTCTGCTTCTTCTCGTCCTTTTTCTCCCCCTTCTTTGCCAGCTCATCCTTCTTCAAAATATCTTTGATAGCCTCACCATCCTTCGCCCACTCGTCCCTCGTGTCTTTAAATTGTTCCTGCACAAACTTTGCTCGCTCGGCTTTCTCCTTCTCCTCCGCTTCGCGCGCCTTGCGCTCTCGCTCCATCTCCTCCATGTGCCTGATGTCGTCCAGACTCGGCTCGTAGAGATGCCAGATGGTGTAGTGGGGCAGGCCGACGACGGAGAATTTCATACGCTTAGCCATCTGTTTTCAACGTCAAGAAAGTTAGATGTGGAAAGCAAGAGAAAATTTTTTGTAAAACAATTATATAAACTCACCTTTCCAAACGCCTCGGTCTCCGCATGCTTCTCGAAGCTAAATGCCGGGAAATGGACACCGGAGCGGAATACCCTAGCCTTGGCTAGGATGCTCACGCCACCCACACCATCGAGGTCCATTTCCATATCGGGGTCTCCATAGGGGTCTCTGAGATATGCCAAGTGCGGGCGCCAAGTAGCATACTCCGCATAGCCTTCCACAATGACAGCATCCTCGTCTAGAGAATCCGCCAGGGCCAGTGCGGTCTCTGATTCTTTCCACGAGTTCAAGTCGTAGGGTTGTTCTCCACCAAGCCAATCGGGAAGAGGCCGCCAAACGTCTGCCGTTTAAAAGTCAGTGGCCTGGGAACGATGAATGTATAGACGTATATAAAGGTACGCCCATGGGCCAAACTCACTTGGTACAATAATATCCTTGTTATGCCTCATTAAATCCTCCAAAATAGTGAAAGGCGCAGTTTCCACATCAGCATCTCTCCAATATACCCAACTGTGTGTTGGGCGCAGAGTGGCACTCAACAGCCAATTCCTCGCTTGGGCCATAAGTTTTCTTCGGGACGCCTGTGCAGCAAAGCCATGCCTGCTTTCCACGTCTTGTTTGACCTTCTGTCCAAAATCCTTCTCAATCACGGATATCTCTCCGTAATGCTGTTTAGGGTCTGGATCATCCTGCAATTCCTCAAGCATTTTTGTAAGGGTCTCAAGCGTGTTGTCTTTCGAATCGGAAACGAGAAAGGCGAGATCTATGAGGTGATGTGGATAGGTAAAATTTCGTAGATGGGAAAAGAACACGGGTAGATGTGGCTCCGCGTCTCTAAGGGGTGTGCAGAGGAGGACTCGCTCCTGTCGTTCCCAGCCCCGGGCAGTTCCTTGAAAGTCTGAGAGGTCATAGTATCTGACGGTCTCCGGTTGAAAGTCGTCGACGGAAGAGAAGAGACCAAACGTTATAGTTCCTAATATCGCAGCTCGCCAGGAGGGGAAAATTAAAAGTAAAATAAAGAACGAAAAGCCGCCAAGGACGCATAGCCGTTGTATGAGCTGTTGTCTTCGGCGCAACGCAGAATGTGAGCGTGGTTGAAATCTATTTTGAAGGAGAAAAGGTATGTATTGGAATTAGTCAAACTCGTTCACACAACGCGCCAATCATAACACCTGCCTGCAGTAAGGGAAATGACAAAACGCTTCTCGCCATTTTTGTTGTCTTTCTATAGGCACAGAGAATAACAACGTACCTATGAGGTGATATCGAGAAAGTCCCGCCCTCCCCGCGCGGGTAGGCGGTGTAACCATTCGAGTAGGGAGAATGCCCCTTCATCCCTCCCAAACGAACAGCATGTATGAAAAAGTAATTCCCACAGATAGCAGCTGCCCCAGCCTCGCGGGTTGAACGGGCAGGAGCTGGAAGTCTAGGAACGGCCGGTTGTATATATATATGTGTATATATTATATCAGAGGCCACACACACCCTTGGGTCTGAGAAAATTGTTCCACTACCGGATCTGCGTGGGTTCTCTATTGCGGAGTTGCGCCCACGGCCCAGAGAGAACCAAATTCAAAAAATTAAGAAAAAATTGGATTACTCAAAACCGCTTCCCATAGGGGGTAAATGTGTCTGTCGTATTGGCTGCAGCGAAGGTCAAGAGCGCTGCGGCTTTTAAGAGATAGTTATCTGGGGTAATTGGAGGGTGGTAGAAAGATCAGGTGTATAGCGTCGGGTAACAGCTTTCAGATACCCAGGGTATGTCTAGTCACACGGAAACAGAAAGCATATAGGCGACAAAAGATCGAGAAAAACAACCCGGATCCTCTGCAAGCAACAGTGTGTGCGAGCAGCAACGGTGTCATTTCTTTTGGTTTCGGCACCTGGGCAGATTTCAAGATGAAATCACGGCAGGGGTCTCGGAGTGGAAGTTGATCCGAGCCCGACTGACTGAATTGTTACGTCAGCCAGAGCATACGAGGCTGTGGTTGGCCAGCAGAAAATTAGTAGTCCAACTAGCCAGATAGCGCAATTTTTGAAGAAATACTCCGGAGTTTGTGTCCACTCTGCTAGGTGCTGCTGCAGAAGGGAGCGTCGCTGGTTGGCCTGATGGGACCCTGGGCTGCTCTGAAACATAGTGGTTGTTCTGCTAGCCTCTCAGGGGGCGGCTGCAATCCCGCAGCCACATAACTCTTGTTTCTTCAATGCTATGTTACAACTGCTCAAGAGTCAACATGAATGTCCTTACTATTCAACCGCTCCCTCGCCCCTTTTCAAGACGCAGCTCAACTGAACTTGAAGGAGGGCAAATGTACTTTACGTGAATTGCCCCTGCACAATTCTAGGCAGTTGCATGAACTGTTCTGGCGCCCGTCTTAGTTCTTTGAAAACCTGCAACGTGATTTAATAATAATGGCAATACAGCGGATTATTGATTTTCATTTCGTTTGTACTGTACATGGACAGTACATGTAGTACTTTTTGAGTTTTACAGTTATCCGCGCACCGTAAGCACGGGGGAGTTGGCGCCGGTTGGGAGTGGGATTTGCCGCTATAAGCGTGCTTAACGCCGTTTAGTCTCGCCAGCCAACCTCTAAATTTCAACCTGACCCGCAAGGGGGAAAAAAGGTATGGCTCTGACAAATTTTTGTATGCCCTTATGTGACATTGATTATATGGGACAGCAGAAAGAGATTGATCTGAAGGCAAAGATCTACATGATTGATTATTGAGATAACCATTATTGATAATTCAGAGGCTGTGAGAGCACCATGACACGGTATAAGGAGTCGCAGAATGCAACTAGTGTGGTAGCGTGGTGTCATTTCTGGACTCGAAACTGACAGAGGCTGATTTCAAAGATTTTGAAGCTTCTGGGCGATATGTAACTAGTTAAGGCTAAATCTTTTTAATTATTAATGGAGAACTTCGAAGTCTGCATACTGCTTCGATACTTAATTCAAATACATCTATATTGGCCATATCTTTGAAGCAATCAAGCAATGACTGTTGCATAAATATGGTTCCCATTCGAGCTATACCAGAAGAAAGGGGCGCCGGCCAGGAAGTGAGAAGGTTGTTCGGAACAAACCCCAGTCAAGGGGGAAGGAAATAAACAGAAGGGACAACGTCTCCAAGATAAAACAACCTCTTTTGCCGATAAACAGCTCTAAAATCACCTCAACCCTATCTTTTCTACCGAGGATAAAAAGCATCAAAATAGCTTGTCGAACGTGCGCCCTCCTCAACACTACCACCCGGTATATATATCACCCCTCCTCCATGCCCATGACAGTTCCCCTCGACTCCCACCGCGGAAATCCCATGTCGCGGCTCCGCCATGGGCCCTAATCTCTCCCACACCCGCTTCTCAACATCAAACACCTCCGTCTGGTTAAAAACGCCCGATGCCACCTCCTCATTCCCCTCCCCACCAAACGTATAGATCCGCTTCCCCAACACCGCCGCCGCTAGCCCGGCCCTCGCAGTCGGCATCCGCGCCCTTTCCGCCTCCATCCACCCCCGCTCCACATCATCCATATCAAGCACAAACACCGTATCCTTCAGCACCCTCGCATCCCGCCCGCCAACGACATACAACTTGCTCCCCACCGTAACCCCGCCCGCATGATCACGCGGCGCAGGCATCCGCCGCGCACGCGGAGGAAGACTTATCCACTTCCCCTGCACCGTATCATATGCAGAGACGATATCGAGTGCCCCCTGCTCGCCTCCCCGTACGCCGCCGGCCAGGTATATAACGCCGCTATCGCGGTGGACGCCGACAGCGGCGCTGCCCCTCGCCTCCGCCTGTGGCATGGGCGCCACGGCCGTCCACTTGTCCTGGTGCGGGTCATAGACCCAGCAGTCTGCCACGGTACTGCGGCCCTGGATTGGGGCGCCGAGCACGCCGCCCAGGAGGTAGATTTTGCCGTTGATGCTGGCGGCGTTCGGGTGGTTGAGGGGGATGGGGATGGGGGAGCGGGGTGACCAGGTATTGCTTGGGATATCGTAGAGGAGGACAGCGTCGGTGGTGGCCTCGCCGGCTAGACCGCCGCCGACGGTGATTAGTTGGGTAGGGGAGAGGAGGACGGTGGAGTGTGAGCCTATTGCGAAAGGGAGGGAGGTAAGGGGACGCCAAGTTGTGGCATGCGTGGGGAGCGGAAGGAGTATGAGTAAAAGTACGGCCAGGGGATGCATGGTACCCTTTTTTTCGAGCGCGGTATGAGGGATTCGAGTTGGCGATGGAGGAAATGGCGGAAGTTGTGCCCGTATGTATACAGGCGACTATATGCTCCGTATAGTTACACGGAGTCCGTAAACCCGTTCGACGACTTCAGCTCCAATATTGTCTCGGTTATAGGAGATTTCAGCCCCCACCAATACAGCTCAATGATAGGTGGAAGGCAGCGCACTCCCCCTTCCGTGGAGAGTGTTACACTAGATGTTAGCCAGCCCAAAAAGGCCAGAAATAAGGAAATATGATGGGACCCGTTAACAATCCTGCGTTATGACCATAGGATCGCATTGTGTACAGCTCCGCGAGAATCCATGGGAAGCACCAAAACAGAAGGTTGCCAAGAACATTGGCTACGGGAGAGTAAATGCAAGCATATGGGGAGAAAATGTTGTCGAACATAATAACATTTATATGTCTCCTAGATATCCCATATAGAATATGAGGATAAGCCAGTCAAGTGAAAAAAACTGTATATGTAAATTTCTTTCATTTCAAAACTTCTCGTCTCTGTGTCTATTCTTTTCCTCAGTAGTTCTTTTGCTATAAAAGGGGACACTCGTCGTCTCTTTTTCCCCTATCTATCTCCTATTTAAGTCAATACTATATTTCACTAAAACAGCAAACAGAGACGGACTGACCGACGACCCGACTTACTAGTCAAAAAGAGAAAAAAACAAACAGTCAAACACATCAACCATCAAACCAGTCCAGCTGTCCGCTTATCTCACAGTAGCCCCCTTCAAACTCTTGACCGTACACAGTCCTCCAGACTTCGTAACCAACTTGGCAACTGTACCAGCAGCAGCCGGAGCAGAACTAGCCTCCCCCTCCTTCTCCGCCAACTGCGGCACCTGCGCACTATCAAACGCCACCTCCAACGAATCCGTAGTCGTAAACCCAGGCTGGAACGTCTCCCAGATCTTCTTCTTGGGATTAAGCACCTTCTCAGGCTCCCCGGCGCTCCACCCTTCGAAGAAGACACGCTCGCCCGCGGGGGCATCGGCAGGAGGGCTAACGAGTTCAATGGGGCCAGCATGCGCGTCGTCGCTCTTGGGCGACGCGGCGAGGACCATAGCGGCGGATTTTATGCCGCGCATCGTGACGGGTTTCAGGTTGCAGACGGCGATGATCTTGCGGTTTTGCATCTCCTCTAGCGGGATGAGTCCGTTTAGACCGGAGCAGACGGTGCGGACGGTCAGGCCTGTTTCTTCGTCGACAGATGTGTTTTCCGTCCCTGGGGCGTCACCGCAGTTGATTGTGGAGACGTACAGGGAGTCTGCGTTGGGGTGATTGACGGCACGGAGGATGTGGCCGACACGAAGGTCGATGAGGGAGGGGGAGAGCGGGGCAGCAGGAGCGGCGGGTTGTTTTTGCTGTTTGGGCTGCTTTTGTTTCTTCTCCTTCTTTTCGTGCGGAGGTTCGGCGGCTCCTGTTGCGAGGGGTTCGGATTTATCTTTTCCTTTCCCGCTTTCCGATCGACTGTTGTTATTACTACTGTTGTTCTTCCCACGTCCGACCACGAGGTTCTTCTCAGCACCTCCCTGCCCCGTCGTCTTCTTTTCCTTCTTCTTTTCCTTCTCCTCCTTTGGCGGCTGCACCGGCTTCGGTACAACCTTCACATCATTCACGTCAATCTCAATCTTCTCCTCTGCGGAAATTTTTAATCCAAATAGCGGCGCATTTTGCACGAAGTCGATATACCGCACGATATGGTGATACCCATTCTCACCAGTCCGCTCCTCCGCGCTCCACTTTTCCACCATAGGGGCCATAATAGCATACACCGCGACATCTGCGACGGACGGCTTTGTACCCAGCAGCGTTGTGCGGGTAGCTAAATGCTTGTTAAGTCTCGTCAGGAACTCCTCAGATAGGGCAGCAGTGTCGGCCTTGGCTAGTATCTCGGTGGCTGAGGCAGTGTTTACTAGCCATTGGACCATTTCCGCCTGTTCGGCATCGCCGTAGGTGTAGGAAGGGAAGATCTCGGGGGAGATCTTTTGCAGGTCGAGATCGATAGAGGTGGAGGGGACGGCGCTGGGAAAGGAGCGATGTAGGAGGGAGAGGAGAGAGGCCGTGGGAGCGGAAGCGGTGGTCATGTTTGCGGTCGTGCTCGTTGGCTGCAAGGAGGAGTTGGGGAAGGTGACTTGTGTTGGTCTACTCAGCAAAGAGTAAGAGTGATACGAGACTGAGGTAGAAGATAGTTGTTTCTTTGAGAGAAAGAATAGCGGGGTGCGTTGCGGCCTGACACTGAGAGCGAGCGGTTGCGGGGCTGCAGACTGCCGCAGGAAACGGACTAACGTGGGCAGCTTCACCTTGACGGCTGCTAGTTTCGTCCCAGACGCGAATAAGTTATGCTGTTATAATATCAGGAAAAGAAAGGAAAATTAGCTATTTGACGAAAATAAATAGAAAGAAAGAAAGACAGAGAAAAAAGAAGACTTCGTATCTCGCAGCGTAGCTGGGGGAGGTTGGAAAGGTTTGGTCAAATTGACTTTGGGTAGAAAAAAAAGTAGTTAGGGTGAGTCAGAGATTATGTAATCTTTGCTTTGGGGGTTTCGAAGGGGGTAAACTACGCAGCGTAGAAAAGGGGCACGAAGGAATTTGGGGCGAGGTTAACTACTGTAGAACTTGAATACAACAGACCATTGTGATTGCTCCAGTTCCTACCGGCAAATTGTGGTGCAAAGGTTATGGTTGGAGTTTTAAAAAAGAGTTGGTTCATCACTGAGGTCCGTACGGGCAGATTAGAACGGTTGGGTTAGATATCATCAAGCTGAAGAGTTGAGAAGTTGGAATAACGAAAAGTAAAAAAGCGCCTAGGGATTTAGAGAGTTAGTTATAGCGTTCCCCTGAAGCGAGAAGGTTGGCCACTAAACCATGCGCCGAGTAGGGGGGGCGATAGTTGGTTGATGATGCAAACGTTAGGAGCACATTCTAGGCCCTACTCTACTCCGTAGTTTATCTACAATTCCAACTCATGAATGATGCTACCTATCAAAAATTCAGGCATAGATTCTTCAATAAGTACCGAGTACAGCTTGTATTTACAAAGAACCGAAACTCTCTCAACTCTTCTTCACCCATAATTGAGGTATATGAACAAATTCTAGAGACACAAATGGAAACAGGAAAAAGATTGCGCCGCAGAAATCACACGTATGTGGATACAATCAAGAAGTACGTTTGTGATGTGGGATAAAAAATTACAATGTTGTCTGGGGTGATCGTACTACTAGTTCCTCTCTTCCTTTTTCCCACTGACGCCGGCAATGGCAGAAGGCGGATGAAGGGCATAACTAGACACGTAATATACCTATTTTAAGGTATGTATGCTCTGCTGTATGTCACCTGTATATCATATCTTCTTAAAATATGTGGATAAAAATAAATGATACAGTTTCGCCCTTTCTTGGTTGCTTTTCTCTTCTTCTATTTGAGGTTTTCTTTTCTACCTCTTAAGAATGTGCTGCTATTCGAAGCTTAGGTCCTCGCAGGTCGAATGCAACGAACAACGCTTTGAACCATATGTCTCCCCAGATTTGCAGGCTGGAGCCTTGGTTGGATTGTATACCCCCGAAGCAGACTGGTTATAAAAGATGGTCGTTAGCATCAGTTGAGAATAAAAAATGAGGCCCGTGAACACAAGGATCCGTAGTAAAAATCGAAAAGAAGAAGGCTTTCTTTCATGATACATGATAAGGGAAGATGTAAACACTTACGCTGAGTGTTGGTGGAGGTATCAGTCCCCACTGTAGCGAAATTCACCAAACTACCCGGTACCCTTGCCAGATGTGTATCCCCTATAGATACCCACAAGTCCGGCAGCTTCGAGCTACAGGGATAAATAAACCCACCGGCATTCACGGACATCTCCGCCCCTTCGACCTTCGCATAATACGCCTCCACAATCTCCTGATTCACCAGCATCAGCGTCGTTCCCGTATCCGCGATCGCAGTGGTCACGCCGCTCGAGATAGTACTAATGCTAGCATCATCGCCAACCTTAAACATGCTCGATTTGATTTCCCAAAAGCCCCGTGAGTTGTCCACGGCGACATCAATCATGTCACCGGAGAACTTAGTCTTGTCAATTGTGCCAAATTCATAGCTGCCAGGTGCCTGAGCTTTGAGCTGGGCAGTGAAGACGGGTTCTTCGAGATCGGGCGCAATACTCTCGAGGAAGGTGGCTTGCTTTTCTGGCCTCATGGTATTAATTTTTGTAAAGGCTAGGCCAACGAGGCCGTCGGAGGCTTCTTCCCTGATGAATGACTCGGAGATCTCGCTTGGGAGGCCGAAAGCTTGGTTTCGAACGGTCGCGCCACCGATGTCGATTGTGTCCCTGCCAACTCCGCCCCGTGCGAAGGAGGAGTCTCCATAAGTGATATTGAAGGTAGCGCCTTCGAGCAGCTGGAATGAATCGGATTTTGCGGGATCGAAAACTGAGTGTCCGACAGATACACTTGGTTCAAGTCTCGTGTTGAATACCCATCTATAGACAAATAAAATAAAAAATGTATATATATATCAGCTCATAACCCCATGTAAATGCAATTTTCTCTCTCTGTTTGTGGCATCACGATTCTCCATTCTTGGAGGCCACAGTATAAACGTACGTGTCTGACGAGCCAGTATCAAAGTTCATCACAAACTCCTGACCCCCGATTGTCACAGGGGCCAGGTACAAAACATCATTTTGCGCCGGCACATTGGTGACAGCGCCATTCTCATCTGGATCGTCTGCCTTGTTTACAGCCTGACGATCTGCTGCAGTTGGGTAAATGTTGACATCCAACGACCCAAAGTTGATGTCTGTAGCGATGATGCCAAACTTGGCGTATGCCTTCTTGATCGCAGAGAAACCATTAGGTACATAATCTGCCCGACGTATCCGATCGACTTTGAATGTTCGTTTCTTCAGCTGTGATCGTTGTGTGGGGGCCCCTAGCACGGCGGAGGAAGAGAGGAGGTATAGGTACAGTAGGGCCTGTATCCACTGCATCTTGCCCGTTTTGTATGGAAGGGGAGATATGACCACGAAAAGGAGATGGAGGAGAGGAATGGCTCAGGCCAACGAGATTGAAAGAATGGAAGATATGGACGATATTCACATTAATGTAAATCGTGTCCAGGCACAATGACGCGAAGGAAGGTAAATAAGGAAATGTGCACCGCACACAAACACACACTGAAGGGGTATATAATGTATGAATGTGTGCACGCTCTCTGCACAACAAACAACAAACAGTGGAGCAAATAATATGAAAACTATGACACCCTGCAAGTCACAGAGAGGGGCAGTCTTAATGGGAAAATGGAAGAGCAGGATAATTGAGGTGTTGGAATCATGAAGGGAATATTGAGAGAGACACAGAGAGAGACAGTGGATTGCCTCAGAAAGGAAGAAATAACCTTGTACAATATGAAGGAGAGCTAAAAAGACAAAGTGACAGAGCGAAAGCCAAGGAAACAGGAGGCTTTGATCAGGAATATTGTCCAAAAGCTATAAAGAAAGAAGAGAAAGAAAATAATACTTTTGAAATAAACCCGCCCAACCCCTCCCAGAGATATACCCATAAATAATATGATATCCCCTCTCCAGAAAAAAGCCGGAGAATATCCCCCAAAGTCTTTATTTATATGGATCTTCCCGAGCCGCCACACCCTGGCGCCAACAGCATGGATAACACCAGCAGAAAAGCCTCAGCCCGGTGCTATTAAGGCGTTGTCCTCGCATTACTTCCACATAAAACAACCAACATGGCCTTGCAAGTGCCCACACTTGTCTGACACGGTGCTAGCCAGGCCTTCTCGCGACGCCAGGGGCTGTTTGGCTTGAGAAACGTTAACCGCCTTGCTCTATTGGCCGGTCCTCTTCCGCTTGTTCTTCATCGTCCAGCGCTGATATCCCCGTCCAGGAGGCATCATATTTAATATCCCAGCCATTCAGGTGCGAAGAAAGGCACATTAGCAACTTGCCTCCTTGTCCTATCTGGCTCGGCTGGGCGCATGATTTGCCTCTCACCGGAGGCTCCATGTTTGTGTTGTTGAATAATGGAGCGGGAATGAGAAATAAAGGGACGTTAATAAGAGAGTCGTTGTGGCGCGTTGGTGGCTGGTGACAACTGAACAAAAAGTAATCTTGAAAGTTTTGCGCCTGGGGATAACCCCTCACCATGCAGAGCCTGAACAGCACACAGTGTATGTTACCTCCGGTTGCGGCTTCCAATGAGCATCCTGAGCCGGTTGGGTGGAGTCTTGTCCAAAACAGTGAGCGATTGAAACAACTCTCCTTGAACGATACTGGCGGGCAAATCAAGAGGCGTCAAGTCAAAGCAGTGCACCCATCCTGAGACGCCATACCCAGCCCCTCACTGTTTCATAGTCAGGCTCTCAAACAATGCCATTCTTATGTTCAAAGCGAGCGCTTGAATCCCTCGGACTTAGCAATATTAAATTGCCAGCGGAATTCCGAATGAGTTTCATTTCAACATCCAGCTCTTCCTCAAGGTTGATGTATCCATGCTTACTTCCAAGGTTACGAAGACTAAGTTGCTCCTGCTCGCCCCAGCAGGATTTGGAGGTAAAATTAAGCGATTTCTGACCTCCAAAATCTCCTGTACTTCTTCTGAAGAACCAAGGTGAAGTTCTCCATGGCGTGATGCATACTATGGAACAACAACGCGCTCACAGTCGGCGAGCGACTTGCAGGGCCGGCTACTTACGCCATACTCTGCTATCTATGCCCATCTAGATCATGCATAAACATTGTTGTAGGATGTGGTAGGAGGGAAGTCTCCCCGCTGCCACAAGGGGTTAGGTATACAGATCGTGGATACGGTCTTTTCACATTCCCCGATTACGTATAGCTAACGGGGCTACTTTCTAACAATAAAATGGGTATATCTTTCTGTATTAGAGTGTAGTGTGCTGGATTTATTCGATTCATTGTCCCTGTCGTGTTATAATACAATACATCGAAATGGGAGGGGAGAGAGACGACTTCTCAGGTGTACATATTTCCCAAACGCCATGCTGCTGTTGCAAATGCCCTAGGTATCATTATGTTGATTCCCCAAAAAACGCCACCTTCAGATTCCCAAAATGCAATGCGCTACGCCTTATCCCGAAAAGCAAGCCATGCGAGGAAAGAACGTAAAAAATAATTAATTCTAAATTTGCCCAGCATCAGGAAGAACCTCATCAGGATCTTCCCCGATAAACTTCCCAATGCTCCTCACCACCTTTCTCAAGGCAGCAGACGCAGGGCTATCTGGGAAGTTATCCATGAAACTCTCCCCGAAATCGCAGGCCATCCCCACCCTCGGGTCCAGCGGCACAGCGCCCAAGAACGGAATACCCATCTCCTTCGCCAGCCTCGCGCCACCACCTGTCGTAGCACGGAAGATCTGGGACTCATGCGTACACTTGGGGCACACAAAGCCAGACATATTTTCGACGAGCCCCAGTATGCGGATCCCAGCCTTCCGGCAGAAGTCAATCTCTTTCCTGACATCCAACAACGACATCTCCTGCGGCGTGGTAACCACCACCGCCCCGTCCACGCCCGATTCCTTCAGGAAGGAGTTCACCGACAGATGCTCATCCGACGTGCCCGGCGGCGTATCAACGATCAGATAATCCATCTCCCCCCACTCAACGTCCTTCAGAAACTGCTTGATGAGCCCGTTCTTCTTCGGACCCCGCCAGATCACCGCATCGTCGCGGTTCGGTAACATGAACTGCACGCTCATCACGGACAGGTTATCCGACACCCACACGGGATTCCAGCCCGCGTTGGTGATGTGGATCGTCTCCGCTTCAACGCCCATCATCTTCGGTATCGACGGCCCGCAGATATCGGTGTCCATGATGCCGACCGTCGATGCGGGGTTGGATGCGAAGGCCTGCGCGAGCAGCGAGGAGAAGGTGGATTTGCCCACGCCGCCTTTTCCAGAAAGAACGAGGATTTTATGTCGTATTGAGGAGAGGCGGGCGGTTATTACTGGGATGTCGGGGTCGGGGCCTTTAGGCGCGGCGGCACAGATGGCCTGGTTCGGACAGCCGTTGCATGCATCGCTTTTGCCTGCTTGTTCGGATTCAGGCCCCGGGCAGTGTTCTAGAGTGAAGGATTTGTGTTAGGGTGGGACGGTATGGAGCCTTTAGAGAAAGGGGTTTTATTTTACCAACGTACCTGGTTCAGGGGCGACGAGTTTGGGAGCTGCTTTGGATAATGCGTTGAGTGCGGGGGCTGGCTCCTGCATCAATGGAGCCATGTTTATCGTTCTCAAGGTAGCCCAGTGATTTCGTTTGTGCTTGTTCGTTTTATATAGAGAGGGTAATGGGTTCTCTTTAGAAAATAAACACAGCTGGATTATGCTTGTGGCTTGTTCTGATTGATGTCTGGCAGATGATGCCGCAGTCAGCTTTAAGTTATTATATTTGTCGCTGCCAGGAACTTTTTTTTGGTGGCGGAGAAGCATAGGAGGGGCATTACTAATCCACATGGCCTGTGCTCCGGCTCAAGTTCCGAGCGCGGAGTCATGCAAATACCAAAATTACGGCACACAGCATCATATCATGAAATAATACGCAGCGTAGATATGCATTCCAGAACCCTGATTTGTCGGATGCAATTCCTCCTGAATGGGTGCACCTAAGTTTTGAGTCATAACCATGCCAAACGCGCTCACTAATGGGAGGTAGTGAGATGCGCTTGGTACGATTATTGTGTAGTGTTCATTCGCCTTTTGCTTTGCCTTGTTCTGTGCTGACTGGGATCTGTACGGAAGGTGATATCTCCTAGAAAGATATAAGCTTCTGTCGATTTCCAGAGTAAATATCAGTAGCTCTGTACAGTGATGGTTACCTCATGAAGTTCGAGAAACCTTAGCATGAGAAAAAAGATATCATGCTGCTTGACTCCCCTGAAAGCGACGCTAGAAACCCATCCATCATGCCTTCGCAGCTTATCGTGCCTTCCTGCGTATTTATCAAAAGCGACTGGGTCTCTCAAGCTATCATTCAGCTGGAGGCACAGCAAATCACGAGCCGTCCGAACTCAATAAGCTGCAACCGGATAAACCATGAAGCTGCAAGCCCTAACAGCAAAGACCAGCGCAGTGCCTGTGCTCAACTCGTAGCTCCCTGTTTGAAACACGACCGGGTACTCCGTACCGGGTTCTAATTTGCCTTTTTTTCTCTATTCCGTCCTAGAGCCTTGAGCTATGACGCGCTTGATTGTTGAGGTTGAGAGGCTTTCACATGCTGGCCCCAGAGGAGGACCATCGGGTGACGACTCTGACGAGAGTCTTCTGGCGGCTTGATTTCTCCCTCCGTCCACTGCGTCCAGTCGGGCTGTTGGCTGCTGGATCCCGCCAGTAGCGCGAGAAAACTAAACTGCCACTAATGCAGAACGACAGCCAGTCAGTGCAACTCAAGGGATGTTCAATTGGATCATTATTGGCTCACCATCTGTCCCTGGCGCTGGCAGGCAAGAAAAATCCACACAAAGTTACAGACAGAAAATCCACAAGCATAATTCCTATCCTCTCCGATCTTGTGTAAATCCTGATCAATGGGTGATATTTTGACTTTCATGCCAGCATCATTTAACACCAGCGCTCTGGGGGCTTTGAGACGATGAATTGCCGTCCCCGAAATGCTTGGATAGGGCCTGTAGAGTAGGATCCAGTTAAGCGAGGAGTTTTGACTGACATCATTTCTCTGCTTGTCAGCAGCCTCGAACGTGATTCGTTCCTGTATAAGTAGAACTCGCACAGGCATCGTTGTGCTCTCCACACTACTAGAAAACGGGGTGGAACACATCTCATGAGTTTGTCGAATCAGAGGCTATTCTGTTACTGGGAACTCCCAACATACCCAGCAATAGCAGAATTCGACGATAATTTGCTTCGTCCTCTGTTATCCTCGCGAGACAGGGTTTGTCGTGGTTGTGGTTGTTGACACTGTTGTTGTTCTACTGCTATCGACTCCCCCCATCGCAGCGGGGCGTGAACATAAGTTGACCAGCTAAATACACCTTCCAACACCAGTTGGAGACCCGAAGCACCACTCTTTTTTTCCCACGACAACGCTCACGACCCTCCCAACCAACGACTTTGTGCCTCAACGCTTCCGAGTCAATTCAACTTGACTTCTTCGCTCACCTCTCGCGGGTTGACGCTTCTGCACCGTTGCTCCCGCCTTGACGACGACGGACTACCGCTTCAACTATGAGTGAACAGGCGACCTCGTCAGGACTTGAATCCCGTTCGAACGGGCTTCGTGAACGGAATTTGCAAGCATCAAAATCTGCCGCTGACAGGGATGTGGCTTCACAGTCTCTAGAGGACAAGCTACAGGTTGAAGAAGGGGAGGCGGATACAGAGAAGAAGACTTTTGGCAGAACCCCAGATGGCACAGGTAAGCTCCCTCGCTTCCAAGTCTCGCTGAATGATTATGACCAAGTGGAAGATATTCCATAAATACCACGGAAATAGACTGTGCCTGAGCCTTTAGAGCCCCTGCGATGTGGCTAGTGACATTTCACATTGATCTGCCCCGGACAAATAAAAAATCTTGGAGCTATTTCACGGCAAAAACGAACCATATATGGCTTGCTAATGCTAAATGACATCAAACTACAGTCTTCACCGTGCCTCCCACCCGTGATATGGTATCGCAGCTACTTTCCCCTTCAGAACCAAAGAACATATCCGATATCTTCGTTCTCGCTATTCTCGGCTGCCATATCCTTCTCCTATGGTTTCTTCCCTCCTCGTTCCGGGTCGCAGCTTTTGCCGTGATATTCCTGTTCTGGCGTGCTTCTTACAATATCGGGATAGGATGGCTCCTACACATGCAATCAAACGGCCGGACATTGGTCTGTTGGGCGAAAAAGTCAAACATCTTCGTGAACCCATCCACCGGCCAAAACCCCCATCCGACCTTGTACAAGTTGCTCAAGTGGGAATTGGAAACAAAAATATCGGAACAGTACTCTTTCGAGGAAGCCCCCACAGAATATAACACCTGGCTTGTATTTAGACGTGTTGTCGACCTGATTCTGATGTGTGACTTTACTTCATACTGCCTGTTCGCAATCGCCTGCGGTGGTCGCCCTACTGGAGAAAGTTTCATCATGCTGGCTTTGAGATGGATTACCGGGATGAGCTTGGTGCTCTTTAATCTCTGGGTCAAGTTGGACGCTCATCGGGTAGTCAAGGACTTTGCATGGTACTGGGGAGATTTCTTTTATCTCATCGATCAGGATCTCACTTTCGACGGTGTTTTTGAAATGGCCCCCCATCCTATGTATTCGGTCGGCTACGCGGGATATTACGGTATCTCCTTGATGGCAGCTAGTTATAAAATCCTCTTTATTTCCATCCTGGCACATGCCGCTCAGTTTGCGTTCCTCGTTCTAGTCGAAAATCCCCATATCGAGAAAACATACAATGCTCCCCCGCCTCGAAAGAGAGTTGCCGACACAGATACGAAGCCACAAGAGGACGAAAACTCGCATGAAGGTTCAGTCGTCAGCGACACCCTTAGCTCGGCACCAGTCATCCCTCCCTTGCAACCTTCGTCGATGCATAGCCTTTTAGGGCTTCACAATATCGACCTGTATCGGAGTACGGACCAATCCGTGCTCTTAGCCCAGGTGCTCTTCTTTGCCCTCACAACTCTGACTCCATCGACTCCTGTGTATCAATTTTGCTTCGTCCTTAACGCTGCCCTATGGAGGATCTGGTATTCCGTGGGTATTGGTTACATACTCAATCGCCAATCAAACTGCAAAATGTGGACAAGACACTTCGTGAAGTATGGAGAAAGCAACCATGAAGCTTGGCGACAATGGAAAGGCACATATCATTTGAGCATGACCATGACATATGCGAGCTTCATCGCTGCTGCCTGGAAGATGTACTCCTTTCCACAGGACTGGCGGTACGGACTTGTTCTCTTAAGGCATATCCTAGGGGCAAGCTTGATCGCCCTCCAAATTTGGACATCTACTAGCATTTACGAATCCCTTGGCGAGTTTGGATGGTTTTTTGGAGATTTCTTCTTCGATGAGTTCCCCAAACTTACCTATAGTGGAATTTACCGGTTCTTGAATAATCCGGAGCGCGTCCTTGGTTTAGCAGGTGTATGGGGTGCAGTTTTGATCACTAGTACCAAATCCGTCGTTTTCCTTGCACTACTAAGCCATACATTAACTCTTGCATTCATCCAACTGGTCGAGCGCCCCCATATGCAAAAACTCTATGGGCAGAGCCTACGACGAGATGCGGGTCTCGTTAGGAGTCTGAAGCGTTCATTGCCTCCCTCTCTTAAGCAAATTCATGGCAGTGTGGACAAAATACTCGATGACTCATTTGAATTTATTGAAGAGTTCATAGAAGCTGCCCGGCCTAAACTTGCCGCTGGTGTTCAGACTTTCGTGAAAGATACTTCTGCCTTGTTTCAGAAGTACCCGGCACGAGTCACTATTTCTCGCCTTGAACCGGACCTGGCTGGTTATGATCTGAAAGACTATTCTATTACATTAGAAGGAACCCAACCTTCTCGGCCAGCACAATTTGAAAGAGCCAGTGATAAGGAAGGCGAAAGAGCACGATCTATGCCATACAGGAGGGGTGAGCAGGAAAACCTCATGTTCGAATACGGTGCTCCGATTAAAGTCAAATGGACCGCGCCATTGAACCACAGCAAGAAGGATTGGGTTGGTCTCTACATGGTTACCGATAATACCTCGCGGGAAGTCACACGAGTATCTTCTCAGGGCCGATGGATCGCCACCAATCAAGCTTCTTTCGATTCTGAGACATGCGAGCAAGGGCTGATCTCGAGTGACATTGTTTTGAAAAGCTCTCGTGATGATGGTGAACCGAGAGATGTTGCATCTGGAGAAATGGTTTTCTCGGGCGATAAACTATGGTGGACTCAAGGTGTCTTCGAATTTAGATACCATCACAACGGCAAGCATAATGTCATGGCTGTATCACGCCCTTTTGAAATCTGCATCGGAAGATTCGACGAGGATGACATTGAAGTCGATAACTACGGGCTTGTCAGGGCTGCTGTCGAAGCAGCTCTCCTCCCTGTTGTCCAAAATTGTTTCGACAGAGACCCAGAAATCGCTCCGCAGACTGTCGAAGAACATTATGGTTGCCTAGTTGACAGGGATGGGAAGTACTCAAAGAGGGTGGTCTTTGCCGTTCATCACATGTAAGAGATCTAATAGTTGGGGAATTCCGGCTGAGCAGCTCAACGTCAATACTAACGTACGATTCAGGTTCGGTATCGAATTTGCCCCTGAAGTTGTCCGGGCCGATGGAAATATCCGAAACTTGGCATGGCGGATATGCAACGCCAAGAAAGTTCTGGTATGTATTCTTACCTTCAGGAACCCTTTGGTGGCTGTCGCACATTCCTTCTTGTTCAAATTTTCGTACAACTAAGAGGACTGACGAGTATCTACCAATTTAGGCTCCATATAGTATGTCACGCTCCAACGGAGCCTCGACACCAACGGCGGCACATGAGGAGGATTAGGCCCTTACTGGTCCTAATGAATGATAAATAACGATGAAGATGAATCTCATGGATATTTTTTGTCCTCTGCGTCTTCACTTACCATATATACTAAAACGCTGTTCTTTCGCGACGATACTATATCGTCGATATACCGGAGTCAATCTGTCCTACTGCATGCCCCAAGCAGAACAACGAGAGCCTAAGGGCACTAAAGGACAAAATAGTTAATAGAAGAAAGAGGGGTGACTTTATTTAGACTTGTGTGGGCGGAAGCAACATTTTTATCCATCTTCGGCTACTGATCGGCGCCGCTATTACTTTCTTTCAGTCATTGCTTTCCCAGCAAACACGAAACCACTGGATTGTGTGGTTATTATATTTGGTTTTAGAAAGGGGGATGGAGTTTTCTTCTGGCAGAGTGGTCGAGGGTCTTTGGTTCTAACCATTTTATAAACTTATGCGCCATCTCACATGCATGTATATACACACATACAGGCGCAGCGCAGAACATAATAGGAACGAAAAATCAGCTTGGTATATACAGAGTACATAGTTTACGCATAGATATGAAACGGTGACGCGAATTTATACGATATTATGATGAAATATATAATTCAGCGTCAAAAACGGACTAGAATGAACAATATGGAAGCTTATTTAGTAATAGAATCACAACGCCCTGTATAAACCCAGAACCTCCCAGTCAGCTACTGATTATCGACGATATACCAATGAGTTCAAATCAATCTCCGAGCACTGGCGTAACAATGATCAAAAAGCTGAGAAGAACTAAAAATGACAGGCGGCAAAAACGAGGGGATTTCGGGGATGTGATATATTCAGCAAAGCCATGAACTCATCCCTTCTCCCATCCCGACACCATCCTCAGGAAAAAGAACGGACCCAAGACGAGCCGTTCCCCCAAGAGATGATCGGACGAGCAAATCAATAAAGGAAAATAAAAAAAAAGAGGGGGACAAGAGGAAAAGCCAAAGAAAAATAAGAATGGTGGGTAAGGTTTTTTACCACCCGGCCCCCCCAAAAAAACCTCTTCGATAAAACACCAACAAAGCTCCACAACCGATCATTCCTCTTCCTTTTTACCCATTTTCGTCGAACAGCTCCAGTTGTATACGAGAGACGTCAACGGAAAGTAAATGAAAAAGGAAAAAGTCCGGTATAGGGAGAGTGGGGAGATGCGGAAGAGTAGCTCGTTTTTCTTCTTCTGCTTCTTCTTTCCTTCCTGCGTTCTTTTTCCTTTCCTTCATGAAAGAAGGGTGCTCCGTAAGGAGACTCGTGGAATGGATTGACTTATTGTCATCATGAAGTTTTGGTCTGGTTGGGAGTGGGCTGATGCAAGGGGTTTTTTTCAAAGGGAGATAGATACTAACATTGAGAGTGATAGATGGGGAGATACTGCTATGTTAGTTCACTCGCCGTGGAATGAGATCAAAGAAGACTATCTGAAATATCCCAAAGGCTTGTTAGCTAGATTCTTGAAAATTTCATGCAAAGAACAAGTTTTGACGGATTGGCATATGGATCAGGATCGTTATTTTTGGTAAATGTTTTTTCTTCAATGATTTTGCAGAAGCAGAACTGAATAGAAGGTTTCTCATCATAGTAAAGGTGTAGGTTAGATCAAAGGGTGGGGGAAATATTTTATACCTTTTTCAGCCCTTCGCTCTTGACGGTTAATCAACTACCCCCTTGATAGACATGCTCAAACACACAACAAAAGTGAATCCTATTTCTTGACATGCTATTAGCGCAGTCCACAAAGAAACTCAATAAGAATAGTGGTATGGGTACAGAGAAGTGTCAGATGGTAGTGCATGTTGTTCATATGGCTCACGGAAGAATCTCCGAACAAAGTTTTGGAAGGTTTTCCTCCTGTAGATGTTGGATGGAACAAATTGGAAATGGGACAGAGACTTACTATACGAAATAACAATATCATCCCTTGGCTACGCTCTCACCACATAGTCATCTTTGCTTCATCTAGCACAGAGTAGCTAATAGTGATGCTGGTGTGGAATTTCTGAAAGGTGCAAGGGAAAAAGAGAAGAAAGGATGGGGAGACGAAGAAAAATCAATAACTCAGAGTGCGGAGCTAAGCGGCGTCGGTTAAATATTGCTCCGTCAGACTGTCAAACAGTGCAAACACCTACATTTGATATTTTGAATTTCAAAGCCGACGATGAAGAGGAAGGCCAGAAGAAATAGCTTCCATTGTTCCCACTAGATTGGATTTTAATCTTTTCATACTTGCTTTGATTGACTGGGAGATTTATCATGGCTGATAAGAGACGAATAAATGGACCTCCTGGGAGCACACGACCACCAGTGTTTGCGTCATCGTTACTTTCCTCCGACGGCCAACGTTCAGTCGCTCTCGAGCGCCCCATACGTACTAGAAAACCAGACGAACTGAGAAAAATATGTAAGTTTATTACAAACGTCATGAAGCTGATGGATATGAGCTAATTATTTTCGCACAAATAGTTTTAAAGACGGGTCTGATCCCATCCGCTTCTGGGTCCGCATACCTTGAATTTCAGCCCTCCGCAATCCTCCACCGGTCGAAATCGAAAACGCTCATTCCCCCATCCTCCTCTCTAAAACTCACTTGTTCTGTCCATGGACCAAAGCCTCTCCCCCGCTCAGCACCATTCTCCCCCAACCTCCTCCTCTCCACACATGTGAAATTCGCACCATTTGCATCCCGACGAAGGAGGGGTTATATCCGGGATGTCAATGAGAGGGATCTTGGCGTACACCTCGAAACTGCTTTGAGGGGAGTTATAATAGGGGAAAGATGGCCAAAGAGCGGGCTGGATATCACAGTGACGGTACTAGAGGGGGAAGACGACCGTTGGTGGGGCGATGTTCTGTCCTCCGGCCCACTGGGAGGTATAGATGGTTGGGGTTTGATGAATGTTCTCGCGGGTTGCATCACCGTCGCCTCAGCAGCAATTGCTGACGCTCGGATAGATTGCATGGATCTTATTACTGGCGGAATTGCTGCTTTTGTGGAGAACCCGGACGTTGACACTTCAGAGAGAGCAAATACCTCGTCCAAGAAAGGCCGTGGCCAGTCGCTAGTATTGGATCCGGACCCGTCCGAACACCAAGTAATTGTGTCCGCCTGTGTTGTGGGATACATGCCATCCCGCGACGAGATTACCGAACTATGGCTCAAGGGCGACACCTCAAATATATCCGCTGGGTTGCAGAGTCCATCCGCAAGTCATGAAGCGCTAATAGATGCAGCTGTTGACGCGGCGCGGGGAGCACAGGCCGTTCTTGCGGAAGCTGTTAGAGAGTCAGCGGAGCGTTTTGCTATACACGCAGGCAAAAAGCTAGCTTTGTCTGCCCCGGATACAGAAGATGTTGAAATGAAGTTATAGAAAGGATTTGTAATGACTTTACGATCCGTTCGTCCCTGTACAATGGACAAGTTTATTCTTCATGTGTTTGCCATAATGCACATTCACAACTGGCTATATCCTAGCCAATGACTATTTATTTAAGCCCTATATACTCCCTTTCCTATCTTGTTACAAAAACAGGGTATTTCTTTATCATCAATGCTGAGGACAGTGTATGATCAGAGGAACAAACTCAGATATATACAGATACCCAGGCTAGCTGCAGTGCATTGCTGCACTTGTTTTGTTATGCTAGTTACTCAATTACTACCTAACACTAATCGTTCTGTGTTCTTGTTCTGTCCACTCACCTCCGGTTCTGTAGATACCCATCTTTTCCATCCTTGCGTTTTCGCCCCTCACTCCCCTTCACTCCAGCCCATACCACCTTTCTTTCATCTTCATCATTCTCCGATTCTGTTTTCCTCAACCAATTCAAGATTCATCAATATCTACTGGAGCACCTCTATTTTAAGCTAGCCCCCTACTACAAATTAAGGGGCTTTGTAAGATATCCATTGGGAATCACCACACCAGCCTTGTGCTCACGAGAGACATTGTTCAGGTATGCCTTCCAAAACCCAGGCCGATGTGAACCTCTGGTTCTTATATACCTGTCTTCAAAAGTCTGACTACAAGACGGTGAGTCTCCGTTTTCTCTCCCTATGTATCCCCTATGGCATTCCTAGGCGATGGCAACATTTCGAATTTCGAATTTCCCTTTTCCCATCTACTATGCTTAAAAAAATTGCTTTCTTATATAGGTTGGTTATTAATAGGAGAGTGCATGGTACAGATCGATTTCAACGCCGTGGGAGAGGCGACCAGCCTGAACCCTCCTGCTGCTCGCATGCGCTTTTCCCGTCTCAAGAAAGCAATCGAAACTGGTACAACCAATTCCATCATGTCCACTGAAAGGCCCTGTCAATATATTGGCATCGTTGGGAAGTCGAAACAACAGGGCAAACCTTGTCAGAGGAAATCGAAAGGGAGCATTGTTAAGAAAGAAAACCAGATGCAGAATTCGGGTTATCCAATAGATAAACCAATAAAGGCGGATACAGAAATGGGGATGGAATCCTATCCGATGATCTATGATCAGCAAGGGATAAGGCGGAGTTGCTCCAGTGGTCAACATGAAGCAGACGATGGAGATACAGATGACGATATTCCATTGGCCACCAAACGGAAAGCAGCTCAAGATAGGGAAGCCAACAAGAGGCAGAAACAAAGGAGCGTCTCATGTCCCGCGGGAATCAAGGATGAGCCGACTTCTAACGATACAAACCATGCTGAAACTCATGGCTCGAACAATACAGTTCCAAACGAAGAACTGATAGCATTGGACAGCATACCCTCAATAGACGCGTGTAAACAAATCCCATACAGCCACAGGTACACCACCACTAACATGAGCATGACGCTTGCTCCTCCGGTTCTTACCACGACCCTTCAGGACATGACACCCAGGTACATTTCAGCCTTCACCAACGCCGACAGCAACAACAGCAGCAGCAACAACAACAACAACAACAACAACAACAACAACAACAACAACAACAACAACAACAACAACAACAACAACAACCACAACCAGTTTACGAGCAGAGCTCCACAACAACATGGCTTTTCCTATGACCCATATTGGAGTTCATGGCCGTCCACAGTCTCCCAAATGACCCATCCGCGAGATCCTTACGCTTCCCGAAACCTATCAGCCCGTACATCCGGCTACGTCCGCTCCCCCGCCATTGGCCAAAATAGCTCCATTCCCCCTTGGACAAAATACCGGATTCCGAACATCACCATCACCGACACGGATCCATACGGGGTACGCAATCCGCTGTGCCCTGGCAGCACCAATGCGCTGGACAAGGTCCATATGGCCATTAATGAAGCACTCTTCAGTCCGGGCTCTAAGGCGTTTGACGGCAGCTATGCCGGCACCATAGAGACAAACGATGTTTCCAGACGACTAGATAACGACTGGGGTGGTGATAGTGGGGGGAATTAGATTCTGAATCTTTGGGAGTTTACCCCGTCTTCTTGTTCTGCTGCCTTGTTTTAAGTGACTGTTGCGATTTGTTGCAATTTTTCTTTCCTTCTTCCAATTATAGGGTGAGAGGTTAACCGAAACTTGGAAGGCGATGCAACCCCGGATTTGTAAGGAGTAGATGGAGCGAACGTGAAGAAAGAGGAAAAGAATAGTTATTTCCAGCCGAAATAATCTTATAGCTCTAGTCCTCGTGCTTGGGGCTTCGAAAAGCTCTTGTCATTTTTCGCTAAGCCAGTCAGTCAAGGGACGGAGAATGAGACTCCTAGCTTCCTCATTCTCATGGATTGATCGCGCTTTGATCTCCCAAGCATGGAACTCCTTTTGTCAAATGTTCACAGGCATCGCGTGTAAAATTTCCAATTGAGATACAAATGGCGCATGGTAATGGCACCGTTAGTACGTTCATCTTTTCAATGGGACTCATTCCCAGAGGTCCTGTCCTAAGCACCTCTTCCAAATTACAGGTATCATTATCCATAATTCTCCCATAACTGGCAAACACTTCTGTCGGCACTTGAGGTCTCATTAGCCTTGAAGTAGGGTTTAATGATTCAGGCTTACTTAGTGATACATGCGTCCCAGTTTGCAATGGATAAACCCAACTCTCTTTGCAATGATGCATTGGATTGTTGACGCGCCTGCAGGAATGGCTAGGTGATGTACTCTTTTATCCAAGAGATTGTGTATTCGGTCCGGGGCACTAGCTATGGAGGAATCCAATGGGAGCTAAACATAAATAAATGAACAGAAACACAAGGCAGTCACTGTTCAGTCCAGATTGAGATTGTGGAAATAGATACAAAAATAATTATTTGATCAATCACCTTGCACAGCACATGGGATCCTTGTCCACCCTAAATATAAGTTAAAAACAAAGACGCAAAGCCGGGCAGGGGTCATTAGCAATGTAAAGATCATGCGCGAATGTGCTTCCCATTCCCATTTGCTAATGGCTTCCGCAATTGGGGACTTCATGAATCATGGATGGGAATAATGGAGCTGCGGTATCCCGCTGGCTTGACATCGCTGATTGTCGACATGAGCCCCTCCCCGCTGGATCCCGATGAGAAGGCGGTCCGAGAGGGCATCCGTGGGCCTTCTTCTGACAGTGGCCGGGGTGTCTGCTAAGGAATTCATTCAATCAATCGGGCATTGGGATTCCTGCTTCTGATGCGCGTCGCGCGGGTTGTCTCCCCTTCTTGTCGCCGTCAAAGTTTTATGATCAGGGATCGTTGCAAGGATCAGGGTATGTCCGAAAAGGTCAGGGGGAGGGAGGCGCATGCATAAAAGAGCTTCTATGTTGATAGTCACAGGGATCGCGCATGACTATTCGCCCTACGAAGTACAAGAAATAGACGAAGTGACGCGATGCACCGAAGCATATGGGGAAACGCGTGGAAGTCGGGATGGAAGCGACTCTGTACAACCCAACAGGATGCAAGGATCTTCCTGTCGTGTACGAAGTACGGAGCAAGGCCTAAGAAGCGATTACTCCGTATGGTCGTGAGACATCACACATTAACAAACTCCGCCATGCTGGGGTAAAGGCAGCGTGCGAATGTCGTCAAGGGGAAATTCCGCGATCTACCTAGGTATATCCAACATTGCTCGATTAGGAAATCGGGCACACCAGGGCTTAACCTCAACCTCTCTCTCACCAACAGAATCCTCTCGTTCCTGACAGCTCCAACACAACCTGGCTGCCGCCATCTATGTTAAACACTCTGCACCCACCTGCATACCTACCCTACCATCAACATCCAACATTCACCCCTATCTTTCGAGATTTTATTCTAGCCCTTTTTGGAGTTCTCTAGCGTCACTTTTAGTGTTGAGACTGGTTTGTGATAAATTTTCTTCCGCAAAGCTAACTTCTCCAGCCCAGCAAATCGGGTGGCCTGAAGGTCATCACCCTTCTCAATAACGCGGTTCACCTTTATTAGCTTATTCAGGATTCACCTACAAATACGAAGAATGAATGCACAAGCTCAATGATAAAAATGTCCAAGATACAGAGTTTAGCGAAAACCACGGGAATGGACGCGAAATAATAGAGTAAATATGAGGAGAACAAAAAGGAGACCAGCAGATCTTCTTCACGTCTGGGCTCTGCCAATTGGCCAATGGGGAGGACATTACTCCGTACAGATGCATCCTTCTTAAGGATTGATCCCAAACAGTGGAGCCACCAGCCGCGAAAACAGCTGAGCATTGAACATTGAGCAATGAGCACTGATCAATGGAAGTCAGCCCATGCCAAGCCGCTTTCACAAGGAAAAAGCCTGAGGATGCAACCGTTGACGCCGTTCCTGGCCCGTTCCTAGGCCCACCTACTGCTGGGCTTAATGTCTTGAAGTTGTCACGCTGGTGTGGACCGCTTTCACCTTTTTTAGGCGTGAAAAATGGCACGCCCCCCCCCCCCAAGCAGGCTGGTTGGACCGGTAATTCTGGGGGGGGTCCCTGTCCAGAAAATCCCCCTGAGATGACTTCTAAGCCTCGTACCCTGTGCTCGACGCGCCAATCGATGGTTCAGCTTGATAAAAAAAAAGAAATGTCGGCCTATTCCCCACTGATTTGACCCCCGGAATCAATCGGCCAACTTTCAATTCGCCAATCAGGGACCTTTGACAGACCCTTTCTTTGCTTCCATCTGAGCTTTGAGCCAGGGCTTTTGTGCCAGTCCAGTCCTCTGCTTCGAAAACATCATCCCCGACATGAGGTTCCAAGGTTCAATTGTTCTCTTTTGAAACGGGGATTTCTTTCTTTTCTTGCTTTTTTTTTTCTTTTTTTTTTCTTGGACACTCGGTTTGCGGTCAGTACTCTCTTTTCCTTCACTCGTGACTTTCTTTTTTACTCTATTTTGTTATAAAAAAAAAAAAAAAAAAAAAAAAAAAAAAAAAAAATTCCTTGCGGTTCCTACATTTTTGCATAATCTAGTTTCGAAGGTCTCCTGGAAATAAAACAAACCGGCAAGCAAGTTCCCGTCGCCAACTGTTGTAATTCTACTTTCCTTGGTTTAATCGAGGTGCACCGAAATGACTCTCCGATAAGTCTCTTCCGATGAGCCAGTTGGCGACATTCCCCCCTTCAATTGGAACCATTGACTTCATTCGGCTTCCTACAATGGCCAATTGGGAAAGAATGGAGAGCCTAAGAAAGCTTTTCAATGTCGAGAGGACACTGTTCCACTCGACAAGTCCCGAATTGACTGTGAGCGAGTCTAGCGATCCAGTAAACGGCACCTGTTCCCCATGCCTTATCTTGCCGCACGGATCGCCTGAAACGAAACTCCCTCGGCTTCCACAAATGCAAAACCAGACTTTCTACGGGATTGAGAGGCAATTCGAAGACCTCCATGATCAGTTTTGCTGTCGCACATCACCGGCCCTGCAAAATAAACGAGTTAAAAACACTGAATCTCACCCCCCTCCTCACTCGAGCCGGCGTCATGTCGATGTTATAGAAGCCAGCTTCCCGGCCCAACACGCCCGACTCCCGACTCCCATATCTCCAGCGAGTATGTATAACGAGGAAATTGCGGATCGCAACATCCATAGCCAACGACTTAACAAATTCAGCACAAAATACGCAAATGTTATATCTGCTGTATACCAGGAAGACGTAGCGGACCGTAATATCTTGCTCAGCGGTGGAAATACACATACCCGTACGATAGGGCCAAGCGGAGCAGTGTCCACGTGCAATTTAAGCAATAGCAGATCAGTGTCATCCCTTTCATACTACCAGGAAAGCTGGCCACGTTTATGGTCCAGATTGCAAGTAGTCGGGCAGCGAGCACCATTAGAGGAGAAAAGAGCAGAATTGAGAGTTATATCTTCCGATCAGGACCTGCGAAGCCATCCTCTATCATACACACCAGAAGATGCTGGCGGCAGTCCACCACGCAGGATAGGCGTCAGGCAATATATCGCTTTGCGATTAAAAAATTCGTCGCCGGCCCTATCCTCTAAAGGACCAGAAAATAGTGCTCCAGAAAGAGCACCGCAACCCCAATTAAAAATGTACAAAGTCACGCCTGATCTCCCACCATCTGCGAGAGATGCCGGCAAAGCACCCAAGTTGAATCAGAGCTCAATCAATTCACCGAAGCAGGAGGAGGTTAAGCCTGGAAACGATGTCGCGAAAAAAGCCGCACTCAAACTATCACCTGGCAGCAACACATCCAACCGCTTATTATCCCCGGCCTCAGCTAATCTATCCACAAGGAAAAACGTTCGTGAACTCTCTATTAATACGAAGCTAGCCGCTCCCACCAAAAATTTCGTCAAAGTACCTAGCCAGCCATCCGACATTCCCGTCGCACCAGTTAGACGGGACCCAAATGCAAGTATTGCGGAGATTGTAAACAGCCCTCTTCCAGTTGCTACTCCTTCTATGGTATCTCCCAAAACCCCGAGCTACAACGTCGAGGAAATTATGAGCATGTTTAAACATGCCTACATCTCATCACAAAAGACCAGTCCACATCCCACTTTCGAAACCTTGCAAGATGCCATTGTTCGCGAGATAAATTCCCATGAAGCCTTTCGCCAGGTTGCTTCCGAGATTGAGACAATGCCGTTTCCGGAACCTAGTCCAGCTCCGATTCCCATTAAACATAGTGGAGAAATTCATGGCCACATGAGGAAGAAATCATCATCAAAGAGTTTATCGGGGAGAGAGAAACAAACGCTGAGACTTGTTGGTAGAAGCTCCTTCGCAAAGAAGCGACGAAACTCATATACCTCAGGAAAAGAATTGTCGTTTCCTGCTATTAAGGGCCTGGAAGGAGGAAGTGAACCGGACAGCAGCCACCAGGAGCGAAGGAGAAGACATACTTACTCGCAACCGTTGCCGCCAGTCGTATCAATTGCCCCTAAGCTCCCAGAGGAGTTACGAGAAGAGGCGAGAAGAGCCAAGTTGGCGAGCGCTGGAGATACCCCGCAGCCCAAATACGCTTATAAACTAATGCCCGATATCCGGCCCAAGAGTTCGCATAGCGTACGTTCTAAGGGCCATCATTCCAGGCCGGGAACGTCTGATTCTTCGAAACAATTGCAATCGCGTCGTCCTACACCTATACCTCAAAATGCCCAGCCGGAAACGGCGCAAAATACGAACAGCCGAAGCATTCCTACCGAGCAGACGACATCTGAAACATCCAAATATGAATCAGATCACTATAGGAATGGAGAAAGTGACACCCTACCCGGCTCAACGAACACCTCATGCACTACCCCTGAGCCTAAAACTATGACCTCCAATTCGCCCCAGCAAATCACTCAAAAGGCGCCCATTAAGCGGCTATTCAGCGCTTCCCCCCAGCCACTTGGCCGGAATCGAATACCTCTACGCCGAAGTAGTCTTCACAAAGACCTATTTGACTCTGGGCGGTTTAAGCCGTGACTAAAATTTTAGCTGAGCTCACCAATGTCTATAACTTTGAACTCCAGTGACGAACAACTTATTTTACGGCTCGAATACCAGAAACTCCTTATATATATTTCTTAACGGAATTACCCAGTAATTGTAATCCGGCGCGTCTCATTCCCTCCACCGAATTAATTTTAATTGTCAACCAAAAGCGGCTTCCTTTGGTGGCCTTATCAGCCTCAATTCCTGCCACGCCCTTCTTCGATGACATGTCTCCGATTAAACCTCATTCCAGTACACTAAGCAACGGTCGTCACCCGCTTTATCTATATACCCCAGGGAAATATCCCAAAAATAACGAAAAGATTTCTGTGATACATCATTCCAACATTTCTTTTCCATATCCTACTTCCATCTCCTTGTCACACATCCCATCTCAGTTTCCTTTGTCTACTATGATCACTTACATAGCCTTACCTAATTCATTCACTACTCGCCATTTTCCTAAATTGTAATAAAAAAACATGCATGGCACACCCATTGCATACAAACCACAGGGCTATTTTTTGGCGGCGCATATAAATCCTGCAATAGCGACTCGGGTCAACTTAAGGGAAATATCACTTTCTTTCCTGGTTATTTTCATTTTTATTTATAACTACACTCAGAAAATTCGGGGGAACCTTGGAGTTTACTGTTTCCTTCTTATCTATCTTTGAAGGGGGCGCAGCGGGGATCTTTTCGGACATTCCCTCTTTCTTTGCCATTTCTCATTCATACATTACCCGTTCGATTATCGGCTAGCTTCCTTGTCTCCTGTCTTGGGCGAGCGAGGTTATCTTTTTCTCATTTCTTTTTGGCCATGGCCCATTTCGATTCCCAATCTATTTTCATCTTTTCCGTTCATTAATTTTTCATTTTCAAGCGTTCTGAGAAACTCAGAAGGGATCTCTCCCCGAGAGCCCCCAACCTGGTCAGGGGCCCTATGTCTAAACTCACTGTATTCTCTTTTAGAGGTGTATATTTGTTGGCTTACGCCTTCGTCGGGGTTTTCATGGCTCTCTAATTCACGGCGGCATCATCTAGCATTGCTGTATTACTTACTATAGCCGTACAACATGTAATATACCACGCAATATTCTCTTTCGGCCAACCACTTTTCATAGTCTGGCCCCTCTGCACTAGATTGTCGACGTCTCTTCAGAGCAGAGCTTGGCTTACTGGTGTTTATCCTTTTAAGTAATGTTTTTTGCGAGAGGCTCTTGATATTTATTTACCCTCATGTCCGGAGTCCGTAGACAAGAAGTGAAAAGGAAATGGTTTCAAATGGAGGAAAGGGGAAAGGAAAAAAAAGAAAAACCAAATGATGTCGCCCAGGCTCGAACTGGGGACCTTGAGTGTGTTAGACTCACGTGATAACCAACTACACCACGACACCATCAATAATGTGGTTCCTAGGTGATTGTATTTGTGAACTGACTGCAAAGTACATACGACCCTGGATCCTGTCTTGCACAATGGGGTTGAGAGCTACCAAAAGAGGGGCCTATGTGTCTATATTCAGGGTATGAATATCTTTCTCTAAAGGTTAATTAATGAAGCGCATGACTGCTGCTTTTGCCTGTAAAGTGCTACACTTTTCCAAGATGAGTGGCCGGTTGGTCAAGTATAAGAACCAGTCAAAAAATATATATAGTTACGCTGTATGTATTACCACACTTGGTGCGGCCAGCGTTGGCACCATCTCATTAATATTAATTGGGCACGTAGCATACGATGGAAGGGACGATATTTGGAACTAATATTCTTCATTATTTAATATTTTTTATCCTTGTATTTATTCTCTTTACGCTTTTTTTTCTTCTTAAATACTCTCGAATGATGACGACGTAAATAGAAATTGCCGAGATTGAGGACATATGCGAAATTAAAAACATGTATAGCAGGATCAAAAAGGCTCTGTGTTTACGCCCTCATCATGGATCAGGAAATGTAGGTGTGAGAGTCCTAAGTTCGGTAGAAAACTGCACGCAAGGAACCGAGCTTCTTGGGTATATTAGAAAGAACGGAGAGAGGCTTTGAAGTGTTTAGTAGGAGCCTATCAGATTGGGTCTGCATTAGCTTCCAAGATCTCCAAGAAGGACAAAAAGAACCCCACCCCAATAGTGGAAAGTATGTTGAGATGGGGAGAAGAGAGGAGGTAAGTTACTCACGTCCAAACAGGCACCATTTCTCTGCGAACAGCTCGCAGTTGGGGTTAGTGCATTTTGTGACTCCCTTCTCAATGCCCTCGGGCTGCTCGAATGGAATACACAAGCTTTTCGCGCCCATACTTGGGGCCCTGGCGTCCTGGGCCTCACCCGTCTCTTCCTCAACTTTGCGTGCACTCATGTCTTTGATTTCGTCTTCGCACTGCTCAGTCAGACAGTGAGGAATCATGCAAAGGTTCTTTTCGTTAAGGGCAGGAGTGAAGTCATCCCAGTTAGTGATATGCTTTACGTGTGCCTTGTAGGTAGCATCTGCTCGTTTGTAAAGGTCGGCTTGAATGGTTTCAAGAAGGGCTGGGACTTGAACGCCAAGTTCAGTGATGGGGATGGTGGACTTCCCATCCTTGCCAAGAATATCACGGCGAGAGGCAGTCACATAATGGCCAGCTGATTCGCCTGGTCCAAACTCGAGTCGAAGAGGGACACCATGCAGCTCCCAGTCGTTAAATTTCCAACCCGGAGTGTAGTCTCGCTTGTCGACTTCAACTCTGACCCCAACAGCCTGAAGGACAGCTGCTAGAGCATCAATTTCGGCCATCAAGGCCGTCTTCTCTGCCTCAGTAGTCCTGGCACCAGTGCCAACGGGCACAATCACGGTTTGGATATCCGCGACACGCGGTGGGATCACCAGGCCACGATCATCGCCGTGGACCATGACCATAATACCGATAGTACGGGTAGAGAGACCCCAAGAATTCTGCCAAACATGGAGTGCGGGTTTCTTTTCTTCAGGCTTAGCTGACGGATCCTCAACGGTGATCCCAAACATCTTGCTAAAGTTCTGGCCCAAGCAGTGAGACGTTCCTCCTTGAATTCCACGGCCTGTAGCTGGGATATAACCTTCGACTGTGGTAGTGTAAAGACCCCCTGCAAACTTTTCTTTATCGGTCTTCTGGCCCCTAATGACGGGAATCGCAAGAAGGTCCTCGTACACATGGGCATAGTGCTCGAGAATTTGCAGTACCTCTTCACGAGCACCCGCTTCGGTCAAATGTGCAGTGTGGCCTTCCTGCCAGAGGAACTCACGAGTGCGGAGGAATGGCTGAGGGTTCTTGAATTCCCATCTGACGACAGAGTTCCACTGATTAAGCCGGAGAGGTAGGTCCCGATGGCTTCGAATCCACTTGGCATAGTAGGGATACATAACTGTTTCTGACGTGGGACGAATGGCAATTTTCCGCTCCAGCGCGGAGTTTCCTCTTTCGCAAACGTCAGCAAGCCCATAGGCAATTAATTATATATACTAAGTGATAAGGAGCTTTTGAATCCAAGACCTACGCATGAGTGACCCAAGCAACCTCGGCAGCAAACCCTTCTATATGGTCCTTCTCCTTTTTTAAGACGTCTTCGGAGACGAACAGCGGGAAAGAACAATTTTTAACACCCATCTTCTTAATTTTATTGTTAAACCACTCTTGGATCGTCTCCCAAATGAAGTACGAATGCGGCTGAGAATTACACCTATATCAGCGGTAGCTCAAAATGGGCGCTCAGAGTATTTCGTTTAAAGACAAGAAATAAAAAAATACCTTTAGAATAAAACAACCCGACACATCATAGTAATCCAACATCTGCCCTTTCAATAGCACCTGTTGGTACCAACCTGAAAAATCCTGCTCCTTCGAGACATCAATACCAATCAGAGCGGGGCCGTCGGTTTTTTTCTTGTGTGCTTTCTGCGAAGGTTTACTTTTCGATTCCGCTTTGCCTATGCCTTTGTTGGCCGACTTTTCAGCTTTCTCAGCAGCTTGTTTCTCCTTCTTAGCAGCCTTCTTAGCAGCGTTCTTGGACATCTCGCCGGCTGGGGGGCCTTCCCCTCCAGCAGCGGGGTCCATAGTGCGATCAGGCAGGGATTGGGTTATAGCTGGTAAAGAGCTTGTTGGAGCGTCAACTTGATCCTGCGCCTGTTGTGCTGACATGTCAAACTTCCTGGATATTCAAGATAGGTAAATTATCGCGGCTTGCTTATGCAATTGAATCTGTGTCTGGTAGCCGGTGCAGCAGGAGTCATCATCCGTAAAACCAGAGTGGGATGTTTCTTCGCCTTCACCGCCTTTGGTCGGCAGAATGGACATCAAACTAAACGTCCCAGCAAACTCTCTGGAACCATCCGCCAGCAAGCTTCCATTTTCACGTCAACACCATTGCTTCCACTCTTTTATTCACCATGGCGGGAATTTTCGAGGCTCCCCGCAATGCGGGACAACTCTGTGAGCTTTCTCTCTACTCTTCAATATGGGGGAAGTCCGAACTAACAGCTTCCCACAGTTCTTGGAGGACAGAAAATCAGCGGTTCTGATATCAGAGACCAGAATGGTAAGTGATACTCAAACTAAACGGTGTAATTTACTCCGCTTACGTAGTGTTTTCTAGTTCTGGCGACCCAAGCGATTGCAAATGTGGTGAAGAGCTCCTTCGGACCTTCTGGCCTTGACAAAATGATGGTGGATGACATCGGGGTATGCCATGCACTCCGCTTATCATATCCTGGTTGAGCAGTTGTACTGATCTGGTATTAGGATGTTACTGTTACCAACGATGGAGCAACTATCCTAAGCTTGTTAGACATCGAGCACCCCGCAGGAAAAATCCTGGTGGACCTGGCACAACAACAGGATAAGGAGGTCCGGTCACGCCAGTCCCCGCCCCACCATGTCTATATCTCTGTCTAATCTGACCTGTCTAGGTTGGCGATGGAACTACTTCCGTTGTTTTAATAGCGGCAGAACTTTTGCGACGAGCGAACGAGTTGATGAAGAACCGGATACACCCCACCACGATCATCACAGGTTACCGATTGGCACTTCGAGAAGCAGTGAAGTACATGAGTGAGAATATCAGCACCAAAGTCGAGCATCTAGGGAGGGACAGTTTGATAAATATTGCAAAGACATCAATGTCAAGCAAAATCATAGGCTCTGACGCAGATTTCTTCGCCAACATGGTGGTCGATGCGATGCAGCAAGTCAAAATGATTTCGCCGCGCAATGAGGTTAAATACCCAGTTAAGGCTGTCAATTTGCTCAAAGCCCATGGGAAGAGTGCTACTGAATCCCTACTTGTTCATGGATATGCTCTAAACTGCACAGTTGCTTCACAAGCCATGGTTACTCGGGTTACAGATGCAAAGATTGCTTGTCTTGATATGAACTTGCAGAAGGAGAGGATGAAGCTTGGCGTTCATATTACGATCGATGATCCACAGCAGCTTGAGAAGATCCGCGAAAGAGAATCTGGAATTGTCCTCGAAAGAGTGGAAATGATATTAAAGGCGGGTGCGAATGTCATTCTCACGACTAAGGGTATTGATGACCTCTGTCTTAAGATGTTCGTCGAGAAGGGGGCGATGGCAGTAAGGAGATGCAAAAAGGAAGATCTTAAACGCATCGCCAAGGCTACGGGAGCGACGCTGGTCAGTACACTATCTGACCTTAATGGCGATGACAAATTCGAACCCTCTAGCTTGGGCCACGCAGAAGAGGTTGTTCAGGAGAGGATATCCGACGATGAATGTATCCTGATCCGAGGGACCAAAGCCCACACTGCTGCTTCAATTATTCTCCGTGGCTCAAATGATTTCCAACTCGATGAGATGGAACGTTCTGTGCACGATTCTCTCTGCGCTGTCAAGAGGACACTGGAAAGTGGAAGCATCGTTCCTGGCGGCGGTGCTGTCGAGACCGCCCTGCATATCTACCTCGAGGAATTTGCAGTCACAGTCGTAAGTCTTTGAAACGCCCGTTCACAAGTGGACAGATTACAGCAATGAAACAGCAGCGTATTGACAAAAGTGATAAATAACAGGGCTCCCGCGAACAGCTCGCCATCGGCGAATTCGCCCAATCCCTCCTCGTCATTCCCAAAACCCTGGCTGTGAATGCAGCCAAGGACTCATCCGAGCTCGTTGCCCAGCTCCGTGTCCGCCACGCCCTCTCCCAGCGCGTCCAGGAGGGAGACGCCAACGAGGAAGAGAAAGCCATCGCCAAGAAGAAAATGTATAAGAACTACGGCCTTGATCTGACGAGAGGCAAAGTTGTGGACTGCGTCAAGGCAGGTGTCTTGGAGCCTAGTATGAGTAAAGTGAAGCAGTTGAAGAGTGCGGTGGAGGCCTGTATCTCGATTATGAGGATTGATACACTTATTAAACTTGATCCTGAGAGGAAGGCTGAGGATGATGGACATGGACATCACTAGAAATTTTTGGGAGTTGTAGTTTCAAAAAAAAAAAAAAAAGGAAAACTTTTTGCTGGGTTGATACCATATAACTTTTCCTATTTGTTTTGTCCATTTTATTAACTTTTAGAAAAGGATGCAAAGAAAAGTTTTATGCCTTTACAAAGAAAGACCTTAACGCCGTTAAACGTGATTGTTTAGAAGTTAATTTTTTTCCGTCCTGCCAAAGGATTCTCCTCCCGTATTTTCCGTATCTTCTGAGATCTAAGTCCTTTATTTTGACGGTACATATAAGACCCTACTGAATTTATAGGGTAGAGAATAATTAACTTGTTAAAAAGTGGTGTGTTATGATAATGCACGCTTAACTTATGTTTTCCCTTCACCTTTTGGAAATGTAGGGAAGAATGAGGATGAACAACCAAAAAATCAACAGGGAGGGCATCCAGGCTAGCAAAACAGCTTCTAATAACTTTGCAATAAAATAATATGAAAACGGAAAGGCAAAAGCGACTCCCCAAGGCACATAGGCAGTATCCGCAGTTGTAGCAATGACCTCCACTTTCTCTACTCATCCTCATCATCTCCCGAGTCCTTAACATCTGCCCATCCACAATGCCATCTTCTGCCTTCACTGTCCCCCACAACCCTTAGTTCCCGCGCCGCAGGACCCTCTCGCCAGCATCGAGCATGCAGGTCATCACTAACGGTGATAAGCTCGCCGCCATGCGTCCAGGAAACGCCCGATACTTCCTTCCTATGGCCTTCAATTAGGGCGGTACCGTGATTGTATATCGGGATGGTATCTTCCAAACGCCCCGATAAGCCCGTGCTGCTGGAATGGGATCTGCGTAGGTTGTGGCGGCGTTGTGGCCGAGAAGATGTTTGGTTGGGTGTGGTGTTGACAATGGACGTGGCGGAGGGAGAAGCGAGATATTGTTCATCAGTGGGGAAGAGGATGGCGCAGTTATCACTGCTGCCGACGGCGAGCATTTCGCTCTTGTCATTTCCTGCTCGGCGGACGGCGAGTTTGACAAAGAACGTGGCAACTTGGAGGCGTGGATGGCGGAAGGCGTATAAAGGCCCTAGACCTGGTTTGGCTTCGTCGCCTGGGAAGCGTTTGAAGCCTGAGCTAGATGATACCATTTCCGGACAGCTCCCTAGAGTCAGGTGGGATGTTGAATATGCGTAAACGCTGCCATCTCGGCATAGAGTGTAGAGTCTACTCCCATCGCCGCTGAAGGCCATCGATGTTAGCCCGAATTGGCGGTATTTTTCGTGGCTTTCCGGCTGCCTGGTGATGGCCAGGGGAACAGGTGTTTTGCGTCGTAAAGAGTATGTGGTTCGTAGATCCCACAGTCTCACACAGGCGTTTGATTCGCTGCTCGTTACGAAAAGGTTTTCACGGCCGGGGTGCAGGAATGCTATGGACGTAACTGATATGTCATCTCGACGAGCTAGGGCTTCTGCTTCCGAGCCAGTTTTCGATCTGGGCTTTTCCGCATGCGCTGGCCAGATACTGTTGGATACCTGGGGGTACTTCATTTTAATGGAAGCCCTTGCAGAGTCGTCTATGTCCGATGCAAGAGAGCAGCGTAGCTGCATCGCTGGCCTTTCAAAGGCCTTGTATCGTAGATCCCAAATATTAACACTGCCGTCACGACTACAGGTTGCAACAACGTTGTTATTGGAAGCGGGCTGGAATTGCACGCGTTTAACAGATGAAGTATGTTTCGACAGGCAATATATTGGGGTTTGGGTGGGCATATCGATTATTCGGCAGGTTTGGTCACCAGATGCAGTGGCTAGAAGTAGGTCGTCCGAGGAGAATTCTAGATCCATAATGGAGTTTGTATGTGGTTGAAATGACAGATATGTCTTTGAGAAGCCAGGTTTCTCGTTCTTAGCTGAGTCTAGTAGCCGAACACCCCCTTCTTCGTCCCCAATCGCCACCAGAGAATTGGCTGGATAAATTAGTCAATGAATGAATCACGCTGCCAAAATAATTAAAAAGAGAGATTTACATACTGTGACAAGAAACGGTGCAAAATGGTAGCGTGAGACGTTCTCCCATCTGATCTCTGTAAGAGCATTGATGAAGGTCATCAGCTAAGCTATAAAAGTCGGAAACCTCATCCCGCCACGCTGTTTTCAACCGTCCAATTAGTCGACGAATAAATAACAAAACCGACGGGCGTACGGCACACACCATTACCATAGTTATATTTATGTGTTATCGTCCTCGATCTATTATCCGAAAGACTGCGCATAAAAAACTGGCCAGAGGTTTGAAGAACATGAGACCGCCGCAGAGGTGCGGGCGGCGGGGCACGTTGTTTGGGTTTAGGCACCTCCAATTGGGGTTCAGTTTCGAACCCAATCTCATGAAGATTTGGCCTACTCGGACTCGAGTCTATGTCATTGTGAAGAATAGATGGCGCAATTCGCACTCTTCTCAAAGGAGAGGATTGAAGTGGGGGACTTGAAGAGAACGACAGTTTCCTTTTTTTGCGGGGAGTTGATAAGGCATCATATGTTGAAGGAGATTTAGCCGAGTTATCTTGGGGTCCATCCGATATCCTAGCAAATGCTGGCCCAAGGCGATTCAAAGCTGGGGAGCATATGTCTTTCAATATGTGGCGATTGGGGCGGTCATTCCCTCCGCTCGAGAGAGCCCCCAGTATAGAGCGTGGGGTAAAGAACCGTTTGAATGATCTAGGCGTGACGGGAGGCGGCTTTTTTGTCTTTGTTCGAGGAGGCGATGAGGGTATCTGTGGAGCATTGAACTTGGGAGGAGAAGATGGAATCGTGTCCTGAGAAGATCCTTCGGGGGGGTCAGACCTGACATATAGGGAGCAGGAGGATGACCCAGGAACAGATTCCATAGCTCGGATGTATTGGTGTAGGAATATAAATCTAACACATTGAAGTCAATATTAATTAGTAAAAGGCGGCTGGAGGGTGACTGGAGCTGGCGCAGGAAGAGGAGGAGTTGTTGGAATTTTCACGTCTCACGAGAAAAGGTTTTGATATTGAGGCTCCGTCAGCCCTGCACGTCGTCGCGACACACTTCCATACAATGTAGTGTAATAATAATGGCTGAGCGTGCACGTGTCGGTCTTGGCGCTCCCGCGACGCGGTGCTTAGTCACCATGGCCCGTGCACAAGGCGAAGAGTTAAGGTGAATACACTAGACTGGAAATAGAAGGCGGTGAGGCAGTTTGCACTGCGGCTGTAGGCGGTGCTTAATGCCGAGCCGACGCTTGGCCTAAATGAGAAATTTTGATTTTTTTGCACATCGACGGTGTGTAAGTTGATGGGGGAAACAAACAATAACTAGCTGTGAGCAGTCAATTGTTCCTGCCCAGTTCTGCCATGAAGATGGCTCCTGTCAAGCGCAAGGGTAATGCCCCGGATGAGTCAGGTTCTCGACAGCCACAGAAAAGAGTCAAGGTGGCCGATGATGCACAGCGCAAGGATATCAACAGCGGGAAAAAGTCAAAGAAGCCGGCGGAGAAGTCGAAATATTCTTCAGCCCCGCTCTCGAAAGCACCAGCTGTTTCTGTTTTGCGAGACGAGGAACCCGCATTCCCCCGTGGTGGTGCAAGTGTTTTAACGCCGCTTGAGCAGAAGCAAATCCAGATCCAGGCAACTCGTGACGTTCTGTTCGAGCAGAAGGGGGCGCCTTTCCAGGGCCATGCGGACGATGAGGATGAGAAAGAAAAGAAATCTAGCAAGGTATCCGGGGGCAAGTGTAAGAAAGGGAAGACAAAAGCCAAAAGGAATACAGTCTCTGAGGCTCCTGCCAAGGAGGGAGTTCGCATTGAAGGACTCAACTTTAAGGTACATTTATCCCGCCGTGAAAAGTGAATACTGAGTGAATTAACTCCACTAATCCTTTTTTTTAAATTTTAAAGCGCATTGTCATAGGATCTAAAGTCCTTGGCCAAGTTTCTAGCATCAATGCCCATGATATTGGCTTGTCACTTCCAAATAATCTAACTGGCTATATTCCGATCACCGCAGTCTCGAGAACACTCCAGCAGAAGATCGAGAATCTTCTTAAGAGCAACCAAGAAGAAAATGACAATTCCGACGATGATGAGGAAGAGGAGGAGGATCTGGATTTGAACTCATACTTCAAATTGGGCCAATATCTACGAGCATCCGTTTTGTCAACTGAAACCGAGGTGAATCATGGTAAAACAAAAGGGAAAAAACACATCAGGCTTTCAGTGGACCCTAGAGAGGCTAACTCGGGACTTTCGAAATCCGACCTGGTCGTTAATGCCACTGTACAAGCCTCCGTACTTAGTGTAGAGGACCATGGATTGGTTATGGATCTCGGCTTGCAGGACGGCCAAACAAAAGGGTTCATGTCTTCGAAAGAAATACCCCATGACCTCGAGGTATCGCAAATAAAGGAAGGCTCTGTTTTCCTCTGTGTCGTCACCGGGCATAATGCGGACGGTAGCGTCGTGAAGCTATCCGCTAACCTACCAACTGCTGGCTCCATTAAAAAATCACACTTTTTGACATCCGCGCCCACAATCAACTCCTTCCTCCCCGGAACAGCGGCGGAAATCCTCTTGACAGAAGTTACTTCGACTGGTATGGCTGGAAAGATCATGGGAATGCTGAACGCCGTTGTTGATTTAGTCCAGTCTGGAACTACTACGGGAAAAGAAGATATTACCACCAAGTATCACGTTGGTGCGAAAATTAAAGGTCGACTCATTTGCACATTCCCCACTGTCGAGCCTATGAAACTCGGATTTTCCATCTTGGACCACGTGGTCAAGTTCACGCCAACAGTTCTTGAACAGAAGCCTAGTTCTGAGGATACCCCAGCCATATCTGCCATCATACCTGAAGTAAAGGTCACTAAAGTTGAACCAGGTTTGGGCGTCTACGTTCAGTTCAACGACAAGCACTACGGATTCGCTCATATTTCCAGGCTCTCAGATAACAAGGTTGACAGCATATCTGCCACGCAGGGCCCATACAAAGTCGATTCTACCCACGAGGCAAGGATAGTCGGTTTCAGCGCGCTGGATAATCTCTATCTTCTGTCTTTGGAAAGGAAGGTTATCGACCAGCCTTTCCTTCGTCTTGAAGACGTTACAGTTGGCGCAGTGGTCAGGGGGAAGATCGAGAAACTCCTCATTGGAACCGATGGAATTAGCGGACTTATTGTTTCTCTCGCGGATGGCATTTCCGGGTTGGTTGCGGGAATGCACATGTCGGATACTAAACTGCAGCACCCAGAGAAGAAATTCCGTGAGGGAGCACAGGTTTCCGCTAGGATCCTTTCCGTGAATTTGGACAAACGCCAGTTACGACTTACCTTGAAGAAGTCGTTGTTAAACAGCGAATCCCCCGCGTGGAAGGACTATAATGGTATCCTTCCAGGGAACCAATCACCGGGAACCATCATCAGCATCCAGTCTCACGGAGCAATTGTTCAGTTCTATGGCGAAGTTCGAGGGTTTCTTCCGGTTTCAGAAATGAGCGAAGCGTATATCAAGGATCCCGCCCAGCATTTCAATGTGGGGCAAGTTGTGAATGTGCATGCGCTAAATGTTGACGTAGAGTTGCGGAAGCTGGTAGTGTCCTGCAAGGACCCGTCGTCATTCACAGAAGCTTACAAAAGTGCATTTGAGAATATCCACCCTGGAGACATTGTTTCAGGCACCGTCTTTGAAAAATCTAGTGAAGATATCCTCTTGAAGCTGGAGGACACTGGACTGGTTGCTAGGTTAAATGCTGAACACGTCGCCGATGGTCAAACTTCGAGAAATGGCGTCGCGCTTGCCCGGATCAGAGTCGGGCAAAAGCTTAATGAGCTTTTGATCCTCAATATACAGAAGGCTCATCGGCTTATCAAGGTCACTAATAAGCCAAGCCTGAAACAAGCTCGTCAAAGAGGAGAATTACCTGCTAGGTTTGAGGATCTTAAGGAAGGGGCAAAGGTGACTGGGTTCGTGAAGAACATCACTGTAGATGGTTTGTTTGTGGAATTCCTGGGAGGCATTACCGGATTTGCCCCAAAACGTCTCGTGGACGATGACCACGTAAATAAACCCGACTTCGGATATTTCCTATCGCAACCAATATCCTTAAGTGTAGAGTCTATCGAAGATGATCGCCAAAGGTTTATCCTTAGAATGAAGGAGCAAGTGAACAAACAACGTGCGTCCGACGGTGTTAAGCCCGCCAACAACGTCAACCAATCATCCATTAATCCAATCGACGAGAACATCAAATCTTTGGACGATTTGACATTCGGTAGAGTCACCAAGGCGAAGGTTGTCTCCGTCAAGGAAACGCAGATAAATGTGCAACTTGCGGAAAACATTCAAGGCAGGATTGACGTTTCCGAGGTTTTTGATAGTTGGGACGCCATCAAGGATCGCAAACAGCCGTTGAAATACTTCAAAGCTAAGCAGATAATTCCTGTACGGGTCCTTGGTATCCATGATGCCCGCAGTCACAAGTTCTTGCCAATTAGCCACCGGACTGGGAAGTACCCAGTTTTCGAACTTTCAGCAAAACCCAGCTCTCTCCAATCGACGGACCTCGAACCTCTCAGTCTTGATAAAGTCAAAATTGGATCTTCATGGGTAGGCTTCGTCAACAATATCGGCGATGATTGTCTTTGGATAAATATTTCTCCGAACGTCCGTGGAAGGCTGAGGTTCACAGACCTTTCAGACGATTTGTCTCTTGTAGGTGATATCGCGAAAAACTTCCCCGTTGGGTCTGCACTCAAGATTCATGTCACCGGGGTCGACGCAGATAAGAATCGTCTTGACCTTTCTGCTAGACACGGAGGGTTGCCAAATAGAAAATCGATATCGGACTTCTCAAAGGGCGAAATATTACTCGGACAGGTCACTAGGGTTACCGAACGCCAAGCCCTTGTGCAGTTGAGCAACTCAACGGTTGGTGCTATCAATTTGATAGACATGGCCGATGACTTCTCGAAAGTGAACCCTGCAGATTTCCACAAAAACGAAGTTATCCGTGTATGCATTATTGACATTGACGTCCCTAACAAGAAGATATTGCTTTCCGTTCGACCTTCCAGGGTCCTTAGCTCATCGTTACCTATTCAAGACCCGGAAATAAACTCGATTAGCCAGTTAAAGGTTAATGACATCGTTCGTGGATTTGTCCGGAGAGTTGCCAATAATGGCCTTTTTGTTACGCTGGGTCACGATGTTACAGCTTACATTCGAATCTCAGATCTCTCAGATTCATATCTTAAAGAGTGGCAGAATGAGTTCCAGGTCGACCAGCTTGTGCGTGGCAGGATAATTTTGGCAGACGCTGAATCAAATAAACTTCAGATGAGTCTCAAGGAATCGGTCCTTGAGCCAAATTACAAGACGCCAATCACAATCAAAGACCTGAAGCGTGGCCAGATCGTCACTGGGAAAGTCCGCAATGTCGAAGAATTTGGCGCTTTCATTGTGATTGATGGGACTGCGAATCTTAGCGGGCTCTGCCATCGAACGGAGATGGCAGAGGGGAAAGTGGAGGATGCAAGAAAGGTCTTTGAGAAGGGTGACATTGTCAAGGCTAAGATCATCAAGATCGACCTTAATAAAGAGCGCATTTCTTTAGGACTGAAGGCCTCGTATTTCAAAGATAGCGATGACGAATCGAATGATGAAAGTGCTGACGATGTGAGCGAGGAAAATATGAGCGAAAGCGAGGACGATGGTGGCATGGATCTTGAGCTTGAATCTGGTGATGACATTTCAATGGGAGGAGTCGATATGGAGGATGCCATGAGTGATGCCAGTGATGAGGATGTGCAAATGGCCGGAACCGAAGACCCAGCTGTCAAGGGAGGTCTAGTCACTTCGGGATTTGACTGGAACGGAAACACCACTACTGGTGCTGGTGAGGGCAATGATTCCGGCTCAGAATCCGATGATCAGACAGTTACGAAGAAGAAACGTCGGAAGCCGGAGATTCAAGTTGATAGGACGGGTGACCTTGATGCCAATGGCCCACAATCTATTGCAGATTACGAGCGTCTCTTACTCGGTGAACCCGACTCGAGTTTGCTTTGGCTGAAATATATGGCCTTCCAACTTGAACTCAGCGAGGTTGACAAGGCCCGAGAAATCGCGGAACGAGCGCTTCGATCAATCAGCATCGGCCAAGATACGGAAAAATTCAACATTTGGGTTGCCATGCTCAACTTGGAGAATACGTTTGGAAACGATGACACACTTGAAGATGTTTTCAAGCGTGCTTGTCAATACAACGACCCACAAGAGATCCACGAACGGCTGACTAGCATATATATTCAATCTGGAAAGAATGATGTACGTTTTAACATTCCCTCTGAACTAGGTTTCCATCTCTAAATACTTCATATGGAAAACTTACTAGTAAATTGCTATATAGAAAGCCGACGAGCTCTTCCAAGCAACTCTCAAGAAAAAATTCACCCAATCGCCAAACATCTACCTCAACTTCGCTACCTTCCTCTTCGACACTCTTGCTGAACCTGAGCGGGCACGCGCACTCCTCCCGCGCGCCATCCAGGCTCTCCCTGCCCACACTCACGTCGACATCACGTCCAAATTTGGCCAGCTGGAATTCCGCTCTCCAAACGGAGACATTGAACGTGGACGAACGATATTTGAAGGTCTCCTTTCTTCGTTCCCCAAGCGCGTTGACCTGTGGAATGTGCTTCTTGACCTGGAAATCAAGAGCGGTGAGGTGGAGCAGGTGAGGAGGCTATTTGAAAGAGTTCTGGGTCTGGGTCATGGCATTGCGGCGGATGGGACTAAGACTGTGTCGAAGAAGTTGAAGGATAAGCAGGCCAAGTTCTTTTTCAAGAAGTGGCTCACATTTGAGGAGAAGGCTGGTGATGGGAATGAGAAGATGGTGGATGAGGTTAAGGCCAGGGCTGCTGAGTATGTGAAGGCTGTTAAGGAGGGATAGGTTGGGGTTGGATGGGCATATAGTGGTGAGAGTTGATGAGTTGAACTTGATCTTTTCTTTCTACATTTGTCGCTTGTGATACCTATGTATATTCGGATCTCAGGGGATGGAGATTCCAATAGTATTTTAAAAAAGTTAGCTCTGTTTTCGCATTTCAAGGCGTTTCTTCTATATAGAAAATCTTTCACGTGCATATAAATATGCAATATTACAACCCTGACTGTTCAAGGTTTTGCAAAATCTGCCGCTGGCAATGAAGCCAGCCATGTTCTAATCAATAACAATGTGGTTTGGCATAGCCCATTAAATTTAACAAATGACCACACAATACCAGTGCGTGAAACAAAAAGGTATTTCTATCCTCTTCTCTTCTCTGCCATGATCCTCCTATACTCATCTACAATACTCTGCCTCTGCTCTGCCAGCTCCTCCCTGGCCCGCAAACTCCCCGCTGCTGAAGGAACATTGGCAACATTGACCCTTGCACCACCCATCCCTCTCACCTTGAACTTCTCCTTCGGCTTCGTCAACTGCTCAGGAGGCGCTTGCACAACCTCAAGTGGGTTAGCAGGTTGCATAGCCTTCGCTTTGCGATTAAGCTTAGCCCACGGATCATCGTCATCGTCATTGTCGGTGACGGCGTTAGCATCACTGCCATCGCCACCCGATGCACCACTGCTTTTCCCACTCTTCTTTTTCTTCTTTTTCTTCTTATTCTTAGAAGTCTTCGTTTTCTTCGTCAATCCAGCTTCGGCCTCCCACGCCTTCCACTGCTCATTGACCTCTTCCTCCTCCGCCTCCCTTTCTTCACGCTCAGCCTCTTCCCGCTCTCTAATCCGCGCTTCCTCCTCCCTCCATCCCCGCTGTAGCCGTAGAAGCCGCCTCTCGTGTTTCGTCTGTCTATGTTCTCGCAGGTTCTTTAGCGCGGGATCTTTGCTTATGCTTGATGAGCCCGATTTCCTCGAGATGCCGGAGAGGGGGAGGGCTTGGTTGACTCGCGCGGAGAAATCGGCCATGCGTTCGCCGGGGAGGATTTTAGGGATAGTCGAGAGTGGCGGGGGAGGAACTGGAGGCTGTGGTACAGAGTTGGATTTTGTACTATTGCCCACCCCCTTCGATGTCATCCCCGTTTCCTTGGCAATACTCGAGCCGCCTTCCTGTTCTCCCCTTCTCCGCTTTTTGCTGGGCTTTGTTCCGTCATCTTCTATACTTGGTCGTGTGCGTGGACCCGTTCCAGAAGTAGCTTTTTGGAACTGGTTCATCATGCGCAGAAAGGCTTTGGGGGTGTCATCCTTGAAGGCGTCCTGGGCGGACTTTTTCGACTTGCGTTTTTTGTTGTTGGAGGATTCTTTGTTGTCTGCATCTCTGGATTTTGCTGGGAGAGGCTTTGCGATTTTCGTCGGTGGAAGGTCGAAGTGCTCGCTATGAGTATTAATCGCGCTTGAATTAGACTGGAAGACTGCATAGAAATGGGGGGTAATTCCCTGACTAGCTGGGGTACTTACGAGTCATCCCTACGCCGCCGCTTGTGCTTGTGAGGCATTGTTGTTTGGTGTCCTTCCTCTCTGCAATATATAGCTGTCTCTACCTCGTTGAAGTTGAGAAGAATCATGTATAATTATCGCAGAGAAAAAAACATCGGCGTGGTATTTTTGGTAATTTAGATACCATCTTAGATACGTGTATTTTATAAATCGATACAACTTTCCTGATTGGGCAGTCTGTTTGGGTCTAACCACCAATATCCAGTTTGCAGAAGTTACACTTCCGTCGTCTGTCACCAAGCATGAAAACTCTTCCTCTTGCTCAGGGTCATCCGAGTAAAAGGATATTTTACTGGTTATATTATGTGAATGCTATATAGATATATATATAGCCTAGTGAATTTCTTATGATATCGATTATTTTGATATGTTATTGCTCTCAAACTTTCCATCTTCCAGTTTTCAGGCCCATAGCTATTTGGGCTGAAATGGTTTGCTTTTACTTCCCAAATTGATTGGGGCGCAATATGCTCTCAGAAAGAAGCTCGCTATTCTTGGCCATCGATATCACTGATACTGAAATTTCAGCTCCTGCTTTACCCAGGCTTAGAAGACAACAAGAAGGATGTATGGATAAACACCTGGCGACTTCAATTTAAGCTGTTTACAGAATGTATTTCCGGAATCTTGATGCTGCTAGCAACTTCTGCAATCTCTGCAGCATGTTTGCGAAAACTGTCTTGATATCTTAGCTCCAAAACATCTTAAATGTTAATGGCTGTGATATAGAGAATCACTGTTTGCATGAGAGCAGTATTTGCATGGACTTTTTATGCTCTTTGCTATAACTGAAGCTGCATCATTGTTGTCTCAATTCAAATTGTTTAAAAGACAAGACCTCTGTCTTACTGACCGCATTTCTGCACTCGTCATAACTGATACATAACATCTCTCTCAGCCTCTTCAGTTCAATATCTATCATGGTACACATTCGAGTCCGTGACCTCCTGTGTTTACCTTTACTACAAGGCTCTTTGCAAGATAAATTCTTCAAATACTTTCTTAACGACTAGTTCATCCTCATCCACTTGAAACGAAGATGTGAGTACTCTGTCTTTTCCGGAAAGACATGACCCCTTACTAACCCGTCGCTATCTGGAAGACGGACCAACAGAAAAGAAGCATCTTCCTTCTAAAACAATCCTCCCGAGAGCATACCTCAGGTTGTCAACTGGACGAGAGAGAATCTATTCCACCAACCACGCACGCCAGGCACTATGTGTATCAACTATATCACCATCAGCATAACCGCTGGTCAAACAGTTACGACGTCCAACATCACGGAATGTGAGCGAAAGCCCGCTGGCAAGAGTCCGTCTGAATGTCCCAGATACAAGGAGATCCAAGCCGCATCGAGCCGTAAGAAGAATGGGCTTCCCGAGTGGTCCAAGAAAGCACCAGGAGAGGCGAAATGAGGGCGGTGTTTTATTAGCCACGCGCGCTCCTGTTCAGATTTGCTGTTGTTGTTCCATGGAAGAGGAGTAGGGAGTCTTTCATATTGTTACGGGCCCTGGGCGGCCGTGCTAAGGGGCCTTCACAGATCAGATCCATCAGATCGTATGTCATCCTTTTACTACATATCAATGAATAAGAGAAGCTTCATCTTATAATCATATTAGCTGATCTATATAACTGGTATTATAATATCACGGCAGCATCACTGATCCTTCTTCTACTTAAGATTAATATTCGATAAAACTATTACCAAGTAGAATCACTAAATTAAAAAATTTCTAGAGTAGTTTTATATAGTTTCTGGGCTAAACTCTTGGCGGCGCTCGGCGCCAAACTACCCCCGCTATCTTCCGTACTTAGCGCCTAGCTAAATGATAACTAGCAGCGATGGATTGTTGTTACTTGAACAGCAAAGGCCACTGCGTGGGAGCTTTTCATGACGACCCGAATTCGGTTCAGGTGCTAGTTACATATCTAACCAACCAGGAGGTTTGCAGGTGAGATGAAGCACTGAGAGTCATTAGGCTGATGATTCTATCAGAGTAAATCAAGTTCAGATCAGTGATCTTGAATGAGATCAATGATTTCACTGAGCTTAAAGGTCTGTGAAACTTAACTAGAAAATCTCATGTGATATAGCTCTGAGTTTCACACTGCTGCTTAGATTAATTACTCATTTAATATGTTTTCTTTCAGTCTTATTATAAGTATATATCAATCTGTTCAGAGCTTGAATTTGTTAATGATCTTTTGTCTTTAAAGTGTATATATATGATCATTATTGTAACGTGGCGGAACCGAAGCGGTGGCTAGTCGGCGGTGACACGTAGGGGTAGTTGTTTGGGAAGCCATATGAGTGGGCTTGACTATCTTGCTTGAATAGTGAGCTCGTAGACTACAGGGTTATTGCAAGGATATCACAGATATGGTACTTAGTATACTAAGAAGATTATATGAGACATGCAGTAACTCTTATGTATATTTCAGTAGAAGTAAAATGAATCACTGACTTCTTTGATGAGAAGCCAGTATCTAGCTATTCTATATAGACAATGAGTAGATACTCTTCTCTTATTTCATAAGTGAGAATAACTGAAGTGATACCTCAGCAGTGTCTCATTGTTAAGAAAGAGTAATCTGCTGATCTTGTATAGAAGTGAGATTCTTATATTCATCAATTGAATCTTTCTATAATATATCTGAATGATGTCATAGAGTGATTGAAAATCAGTTCAGATAGAATGAAATTATCTGTATGAAAGTAATAAACTATGTGAAACTGTAACAGAGTCTTGATATAGCTAAGAGTGTGATAATACTCTTCTCTTTAAGAGTATAGTCTCTATACTCTTAAGATTATCAGATTAGAAATTATCTTTATTGTATAGCAATAGTTATCAACTGATTGATAGTATATATACTGTATATAATACAAAGAAATAGATGAGTTTTTCTGCTGACTGTGTAGATCTTTCTTTTCTCATCTTTATTCAAATCAAATATGTGATAAGTGAGTTTCTTATATATCAATTTGAAATGTGAAAAATATAGTTAATAAGTAACTTACAGATCTCTCAATATATTTCATTCTATATATAAAATTCTCTGTAAAAGTGATATGTTTTAGAGACAAAGCTAATAGTAGTGACAGAATTTTTTGAAAAGATTCTTCTCTTTATAAAACATTTTTCTTTTCTCTCTTTCTCAATTATAACAGTAAGTGTATAAGAGTATCATTCTTGAAGAATAATTAAGAACTTATTCTGATGTTTTCTAGTGAGTAATAAATGTCTTTATGATGCAGCAGCAGTCTCTGTAACTGTTAAGAAAGTCAGATTAAAGATGAAGATAGTGATGTTAATGAGCTGCAGAAGCACTACTCTTATTATTATATCTTCTTCTCTTTCTACTTCTTTTGCAGCTGCAGTGATAGTCACTGTGTCTTGTAGTAAGATGTTATCTCTTCTACTGATTGATTTATCTATGTCTGATCTGTTCTCTGCTCTTCTCACTATTATTATAACACTATCTTTCTTCTTAGTTAATACAGTGATGTATGACTCTGTGTGATCATTTGAAGAGAAACTCAGAAAGAGCTTGATTCTGAGAACAGTGACTCTGAGAAGCTTAATCTGTAGTTTCTCTCTCACAGCATGTCTGAGCTCTGCTCAGAATACTGCTGAGTTAAGTCTGCAGAATTCTGTAGTTTCTTTATCTTCTCTCTGTGAAGAGGCTTCAGTGCAGTCTCTGACTGACACTGCTATTTATCTGTACTATGTTAAGCAGCTGAAGAAGAGAGAGATTCTATGTATTTATCTCTTCTCTTACTTCTGTTATTTCTGTTATATCTGTAACAATAACTTCTATCTCTCTGTAAGTATTATCTACTCTATAAGAAGACAGTGTGTCAGCTCTGATAAGAAGTTCAGATGCTTAAGCAGTACAGAGTAAGAGTCTCAGAGTTTCAAGTGTTAATGAATTCTGTCAAGACTTGTAAGAAATCCCGCTTCTCGCGAATTCTTTACCTCTATTTCTATCTCTCATGTAATCAATAGGGCTAGCGGCCCTTGGCTACATACAACTATATAGACTGAAGTTTGTGAATACTATTCATAACTCAGCTTGAATACTATTATATATTTAACTTCTACATTTTATCTTTCTACTGTGAACACTTCTAGTAGTTAACAGTATATATTATATCAAGCTGTAAACACTCAAATAATCATCTGTGAGCATTTATTCTTACATTTCAAGCTCAGTCAGTCAGCAATTGTCTGTTATAACTGAAAGAATTAGAAACTTATATACTTCAATCTCTGTGAACTCTACTACAGACACTTAGAAGCAGTTATCTGAATTATGAATAATCTCTATAAAAGAAGTCTCAGAGAACTTATCAATCACTCACAGAATATTATTTTCTACATCTGTGACAGAGAAACTCTCTGAACTTATAAATAAATCAATCTCAGTGAAGAATATTCTTGAGTATCTTCTACAGAATTAAGCTATTTTTCTATAAGAAATACTTACTATCTGCAAACATTCTTAAACTGAGTCTCTAGACATGATCTTCAGAGACACTTATAAACAGAAAAGAAACTTTCTCAAGTTACAATCACTTAAGATTATCTATTAAATCATAATCTATAAAAGCTTTTGTGAGTTTGTATTTGAAATTGACTCACAAGCTCAGCTATGTGATATGAAAGATGAAGAAGCTATCATCTATATAATGACAGATCTCTATTATACTGAAGTCAAGAACTGACTGAATTATCTAGAGAATGATTATAAGAGATTCTGATAATCTGTTCTTAAGATCTATCTAGAGAATAAGTTAAAAGACTCTGTAAGCTGAATAGAGAATATTTAAGCTGTGATTATTAATATTAGAAAAAGAGGTAAGAAATCTGATAAAGACTACTCACAGTACTTTATAAAATTATGATATAAATTAAGATCTGTGAAAACAGAGCTCTGAAACAAGATCTGAATAATGATATTTATAAAGAGACTGAATAAAGATATATAGAACAAGCTCATTAAGTAAGACTCTAAGTTCTTGACTCTGAAGAAACTGATAACTCTTATTTATTATTTACAGATCACTGTGAGAGTCACAGATCTGTGAAGAGCAGATCATCAATCAGTCTTATAAGAGTTAGAATAATAGAGAACAGATTTATCAGAAAAAGATAATAAGATATAGAGAGATTTGTATCTAACTACTGAGTAGAAAGAGAGAGCTTTACAAGCTTCTGTAAATAGAGTGTATAATAGAAAGACTAAGAAAAAGAGACTCTGCTTCATCTGTTCTAAATTAGAACATCTTTACATAAACTGTCTGAATAAACTAAAATAGAAATTTGAAGAGTTACAGACAGAGTCAGTAACAGTCTTCTTAAGAGTCTTGAAGCTGATATCTGAATCTGTTACTCTCTTAATGAAAATGCTTACTTATAGAGAGAGACTGCATCACAGTACTACTGCTCTACAAGTATAAAAAGTATTAATGAACTCAGAATCCCAGATCACTATGATGTTTCTAAAGCTTATGAAGTAAATGAGCTGAAAGATAAAGACTGAAAATCTGCTCTTATAATAAGCAGAGTGTGAGAACTCAGATCTGAGAGCTGAGAGACTTATAAGAATCATCTTTAAATTACAAGATCTCTCTGAAATCTGAAAAAGATTTGTAGAAACTGTGATTATCATAGATATCACAGATGATATGTATTTAAAACTTATATAACTTCAAAGACACAATCTGCACATAGCTGTTTATAAGTCAGGTTTATACTTTCAATCAGTGTTGACAGACTCACTTACAGAGATAGAAGCAGTTAATACTGCAGAGTTAATTAGAGAAGACAAGCTCATCTATATAATAACTTTATAAGTGTCTGAGAATCTCACAGTCATGAAAACTAAGCTTCAGATACTAGAGAAATATTAAGATCTTGCAGAGATATTCAGCTCAGCTAAGACAGCTAAGCTTTCTTCTCACTGTGAGAAGAATCTGATAATAGATTTGATAGAAGAGTAGAAACTCTTCTGAGAATCAATCTATAAGCTCTTTTATTATAAGACAGAGATCTTGCAGATCTATGTGAAGAAGAATCTGAAGAATAACTTTATTCAATCTTCACAGGTCTTCACAGAAGCTTCTGTGATATTTATAAAGAAGAAGAATGAAGATCTCAGATTATATATAGACTATTATAATCTGAACTTCAAGATAATAAAGAGTCACTACTCTCTATCTCTGATTAAGAATGTGATTAACTATCTCACAGAAGCTATTATATTTATATAACTGAATGTAATCAATATATATACACAGCTGTAAATACAGTCTGAGAATGAATAAAAGACTGTCTTTAGAACTGCACTGAAATTATTTAAATATCTAGTAATATCTTTTGATCTGACTAATGCTCTTATAGTATTTCAGTCTTTCATTAATAAAATACTTCATATATATCTGAATATCTTTATAATAATATATCTGAATAATATGATAATGTACTTCATGAAGAAGAAAGAACACACTGAGCATGTACAAAGCATGTTGAAGATCTTAAATGAGACAGAACTGTATATTAAGCTTATAAAGTACAACTTCAGTGTCTGCTGAATTAATTTTCTAGAATATATAATCATCACAGATGATATTCAGATGAAATCTTCA